AATTTTTTGCAATTTTTTTTAAAGAATAACTGTGATATTTTATGATAATTTGTTAGATTGTATCGCTTATGCATATCTGTGTATTAAATGTATAAAGAAGAATATAAACTTTGATTGCTTTTCTTAAATCTAATCATAATTGGCCACATAAAAGAATTATACATCAATATATAAAAATAAAGTTCTCATATATCCATAAGTTTTTACACAGTTTTTAGACACAAACTTATATTAACTTTCTTTATAAAATCATAAAAAATACTACGAAAATGATACTACGATATAATAAAAATTTTTAATTAATCTCACTTTAATAATTTGATTTTTCATATGAAAACAGAATTGGAATTTATTTAAATATTTGTTCTTCCATCCAACAATTCAATTATTTCTTCCATATACAAAATTAATTAAAATAAGATACGCTTTTAACTAATATTTTTATTTTAATTAATAAGATGAAGTCGACCTATTAAGAGTACAGAATAAATAAAACAATTCATTATGTTTTCTTCCATAATAAAGGGGAATTAATTATTATATTAATTATTATACGAATTAAATAAAATCAAAAATATACTCATTTAGTTATTAAATGAAATCACAAAAATATACTCATTTAGATATTTAAAAATTCATTAAAAATGACAGTTAAATATCTCATTATCGAAAAATATTGTCCCACTTCAAAAAGAGTCGTAATTAAGTTTCATTTGAGCTTACACGTTGGCAGAAGTTTTATAGTGTTTTCATAAAAAAGGATCGAATCTTTATCACATTTCGATTGGAATTTGTATGCAATCACCGAACATTTACACCTATTCAATGGTGATTTGCGTAATTTAAGTTTCTACGTAATCGCACGCTTTGCTCCGGCCAATTCAATCATCTTTCAACTATCTCTTGGCTGCAATTCAGTTTGTCTCCGCAAAAAGAAAAAAAAGGAAATTTTACATTACACAGGATTCTCTTCTTTTGCAATTCCCGTACATATTTTAAAATGCTCGCTGCTTTCGGAAATTAAAAACAAAATACAGATTTATTGGTAGATTCTAACAAATGCTAGCAACGAATGCATGCTTTTGCGTACGGGATGATTCTCCGATCTCTTTTTCGGCAACAGACAGTCAATCTCGCTAGTTGCGCACATTGTGGCATTTATTATGCATTTATTCCTCGTCTCGAAGGAGAATTGCACCGGCATCGCGCGCGAAAGATACTCGCTGAAACTCGAAGAAAATCCGGGACGAGGAATCGAAGGAATTCGTAGGAGCGTAATGTGTACGCTTAAGCGAAAACTTAAATTACGCTCGAGTCGTTATTGAATAGATGCAAGCGTCCGGTAACGACGGCATATAAAATCGAATCGGAGCGTGAGGACTGCTGCTACTTTCGGTTGTTACGCCGAAATCGCTCGTCTTCGATCCGCGCCAATTTCTTCGACTTTAAACACCGCGGCGAAGGGATGCCAGCCATCGAAACGTAGTCAGTTTGATAGACGAAAATTCGAACGATCGCGAAAATCGTCGATCCCTGACGTTTCGTTCGATCGACTCTAACTTGCTCTCGCTTCTTGTTTCTCTTTCTTTCTGCTCGTCCCTCTGCGCTTCCTTCGAATCCCCTTTTGGCTTCTTACGCCACGATTTCCAGCTCCAATTTCGCATCGACGAAGCTCGATCCTCGATGCTCTGGAAGCTCCTCTCCTCTCTCTCCTTCTCTCTCAATCTGCAGTCGATTTTCTCGTGCATCGACCCAATTTCCCAGGCCGGTACGGGCAATTTAACACACGGGTCTTCCCTCCACTTCGCCATGCCAGATTGGCGAAAGACCACTTTTTCAGTGCCTATCGTGGGATAAGGGTCAGAAACCGATTTTTAAGAGCGCCGTAGAGAGCGAGTCCTGTGGACGTTACAGTAATCGAGAGGGCAGCTAAACGAACCTCTCGTAAAAAATTCTTTTCCGACAAGTTTTAGACATTTAAAAAGTTTTGCAAGATGAGATTATTGCAACGTCAGCGCAACGTATGTAATTTCAAGCGATATGAATTAAATAAATTTAATTTATATAGTTATATATAATCTCGTAAATGTAAAATTCAAAATAGGCGCAAACTTATTTTTTACCGCTCTTCTAAATAAATATATATCTTCTTTAAAGAGAAAAAAATTTTTGCCAAAATTTTTTTATCTTTGATACGTGTCGCTTCTTTTATATTTTCATTTATTTCAATACTATTGAATATCGCGCTAGATGCAAAATATTTTAAAATATATTTCCGCATCTAGCGCGATATTCAATAGTATTCAAAAAAAAAACGAAGAGAACTATTGATATATATCTTTTAATACCTGTAACGCGTGAAACATTTTTACGATATTTCGGGTACGTGACTTAATTTAAGGTAATCGATCGAGGCGTAAACTGTTTTTCTGCGAATACGATCGCGTAAACTTCACACGCGTGCAATCTCAGTGACACTCGTATGGCGCATATATATTTGCGAAGTGAGGCAGTCCCGTTCCACTCTAGCTGGCCCCATCGAGCGAATTACCATATTCCGTTGTCCGCCTGGACGCTACATGTTCTCGTGGGGGTTCCAGATTCCGCTCCTCTCTACTTAATAAGCAGAGAGCCTTTACTGTCGCTCGCGTGCAACGCAGTCTCCGCACTTGAATCCGGTTATCTTTTATTGCGGATTCCACCCCCGCGCAACCTCCTCGCACCTACCCTCCATTCGCTCGATTCTCATCCGTAGTCGCTCAACGCGTCCGAGTCTATTTTTACTCGCTTGTTGGTGAAGTCAGATTTTTATTCCACGAGTTCTTTCCGCGCTGTCGTGTCGCTCGTTAACGCTGACATTCGTGACGACGTTACATTAGCATGGATATTATTCATGTGACAACCGATGGGTTTTGCGGAGAGGCATGTACAACGCGGGGTTAAAAGGCGGAATGACGCAAGTGTCGCGGCGGCGGCGTTGCATTTACTTTGTAAACGTGCGTTTGGTGTTAGCGAGCTTCGCTCGGATAAGAACGGTGAACTTTGTTGTGAATACTCGCGCAATATCGATCCGTGCGGAATGAAATGTACGAATTAATAGATCCCTGGTATTTGTTCAGCGAACATTGGTGAGTCCATTACGTAAGAGGAGTTAGTTTTCTGAATAGAATTAGCATAATCCGCTTCTCTCTAAACACTCTGCGGGAATCTCCGACCGAGTTGTATTTAGTGTCTTAACGAGTTAAAGCTGGGATATTCATTTTATGTTTTGGAACTTTGTCGCACATCGAGATGAACGGAATCTACTTATGTTCAATTAAAGAGCACAAGATTTTCGCAACGCATTTTCCCGAAGCTTATTTTATTGCTTTATCTATATATCTTTCCTTTATCAATATGCTTGTCGTGTAAATTTTATTAAAGTCTTGATATTTTTTATTTAACGTAAAAGAAAATGTCAAGTTGGAACATCTTGATGTAAGAAATTCTCGAGTCGTATTTGAGTGATCGTTTACGACACTGGGAAAGAAAGGACTTTAGTGGAATGGATAAAGTATCATGAAAAATGAAGGATCCAGTTGTAAGAGAGATGGAGAGCACAAGAAGGGAAGACTTTAAATCGGACAAACCAATGTTGTTGATGATTCACGTCCCACAGCCCTCTCCGCAGCCTCTGTGATATAGAGAAAGAACGAGTGGATCGAGGTAAAGCGAGGAACGTTTTATTTTCACGCAATCGGGCGACTCATTGATCGTCGAGCCGAATATATTAAAAATCAGAAAAATTCTAGAAAAATGTCGAAAGAATGATATTTTTCTCACATCTATATGAAACATTCAAAATAATACAAATCTGGCGATAATTATTTTTGTAAAATGATTTAAAAAGCTGAAATATATTTAATGTTTAAGAACAATAGGGAAAAAAATATTATTCCACTTTTATCAAAATAATTATCTCACCAAAACTATATACGTTAAATTGAAGCAACAAGAAGAGAATACACACGGTGGAAGAAAAATGTAACCACAAAAGAGGAGGGCTTTGCTGTGTGTAAAAGAGCTGTCGCTAAAAAGCGTTACGCGAAACGAGCTGAAGCAACACCTGCAAGTCGTGAAATATTACGACTATTTATTCGGTTCTTTTTAAGAATATATCCTCGACCAATGAATATATCCAAAGTCTTGCCAAGACTTTCCTTAGGTCTTTCTGCAATATCAATTTACTTTTTCAAGATTCTGAATTATACCGTTTCTTCTTCTTATGCCCTCAAAATATCAATGCAACAAATGACTAAAAATATATTATTTTATTTATACGTGAATCACTTTCTTTCCTAATATAAAGATTAAACAGGACTTTCTCCTTCTTGATAGAATCAGATAGTTCCATGCCACTTATTGACAATTTGTAGAGCCCTTAGAACTCTATTGTCTGTGAACTTTGTGTGCAGATAAAGACTTATAAAACTACCATTACTATCAGAAGCCGTAGATGTCTGATACAGAACAGTATTGGATGAAGTAGTAAGATATATATTATATATCGATTCCACATATATTATTTCTAACACAATTATTTATCGATGAGACTAAACTCATTTTAGACGACCTAAAATCTCTAATAAAACTCGAAAATTCAATTAAGAATTTTACATGCTATTTAAAATGAGTTTGTCACAAGAGATATATATTTTATTCATTTCATTTAACATTAATTTATATATATATATATAATCAGGATGATCGTAAAATTTGCTTAAATTTATCTAATATTTTTTCAACAAAAACAAAATAAATAATAATAATAAAATTATATTTAAATATCTTTTACGAAAAAAGGTAATCCTATAGCGAATACAAACTCTCATATGTTGTGCTGAATCTCATGATTGCGAGACGAGACGAAGTTAGAATACTACATACATATATATTTGTAATATTTCACGTACTTGATATATAAAAGTTTTTACTAACGCAATTTATAATCTTGTTTCCAGGGTGAGGGGGCATGTTGGTGTGTCGGCGGTTGCTGCTGATCGCAGCCGCGATTGCGGCCTCGATCGAGGCTGGCTCGGCTAGTTACCACTCTCTCGGTATCTCGTCGTCGGATTACTCCGGATACCCGAGCGGATACGCGGTCTATTCCGGCGCGACGTCACCCGAGTCCTCGTCGTCGTCGAGCTCGTCGACGTCCAGCCCGACGTCGGAGCCCGCTGGCGGCAACGGCGAGTCGTCCTGCCGACCGTCCGAGTTCCAATGCGGCACCAGCGGACATTGCGTCGCGCAGGACAAGTACTGCGACGGCGAGAATGACTGCGACGACAAGTCCGACGAGCCGAGATACTGCACTCGTGAGTATCGAATCCGCGGGCGAACGGAGATAAGTTTTAAACGAGGCGAGTTTTCCTCGGAGAGAATCGATATACGTCGAGATCTGCCAAAGATAATAATGAATGGCTACTTCCAAGCGATCATTTCCCTTCCTGAAAACAAAATTTAGTATTTTATTGCGATTTGATTCTCGCATTAAATTCGAATTTATACACTATTACTGTTGAATGATCGGAGTAATCGCAATTCAAAGTGAATTTCACATCATCAGCTTTACATCTTTAAGGATAAAAACAATTGTTTATCAATTTTACGTCGGAATATCTCTATCGAATATAATAAATTATTATCGAATGAACAATTAAATACGTAGAAATGTATAAGTAAAAAGTATTATCGTAAAAACCGATGCATGTGTCTATAACCGATGTGTCTATAAAATTAAGCAGAAAAATAATTATTGTAAACGAGCAAGTGAATACGTATTTACTTCATATATTCATAATATTACGAATTACTGCATATATATTAAACCAGGAAAGTTTTCGCTCATCCGAGCGGATAATGTTTTGAGCCAGTAATTATTTAACTGCATTATCATTTTAGCTCCATTCGTGTAAAAATCAAAACTATATCGCGTTATAAAATTTTATTAATGAAACATATGTTATTAGTGTTCATTTTGATATGTGGCTTTTGTTATAACATGTACCGTCAAATAATTTTTATTCAATAATTTATAACGAGATAAATAAATTAACCGCTTGTTATTGATATAATACTAATTACCACTGCATATGAAATTTAATCGATTTGCGAGGCTCAAATATAATTATGTTATACAAATATCACATTTTCGTTTTAAATTTTTAATTTCAATAATATATGCATGATACGTCTCAATAGAACAGTAATAGTATTTATTATAGCATCCAGTCGTGATCCAATTCCTTTGTGGAATTTTAAATTACACGTTAAAATATACAGCTAATTATCAAGAATAATTATTTACACTTAGGACAGCAGTTATAAAATAAGAAAATAAACAAAGTATAGAAAGATTTTGATTAATTAACACTTAAATGTGTTTACGCTGGTGTATTTCGAGCCGTTATTAATTTCTTAAGTACATATTGCTGAAAATAAATCTGATTGACGAACTTTAAGTGAAAAATATATATTTAAAAGTAGCAATGTATATTTTTGTGTAATTAACGTGTATATAAATCTCTGGCTGTGTGCGTACAGATTACATTCCGCAAGAGAGATTTATTTCAAGAGTTGATATACCTTTTTACAAAATAATATTTTATCATGCGCCGCGTTTTTATAATCTGGAATAATTACACTCCAGGATTTATTTTTCGCGCATAATAATTGCGTAATAAAAACATTTCAGCTTGCTACCGGACTCTGTACGACTTGATGTACAAATGAAAGTAGTTGGAGGAGTTAATATTTTGCTGTAAATAATATTTCGTTTCACCATATATATTAAGCGCCATTATATGACATGTTATATTGATATTCTCCACGATATATCTTTTCCACACGATTATAGCGAGAACATTTTCATTTGTATCGGACATTATACGTTTTGATGTACGAAGCATTTCTCTCGTGCGCGTAGTTGAAATTTTCTCGGATATTATTTCACGCTTCGTTATTAATACAGGACGAAGAATTATACGCTATTTATATGCACATATTTGCACGTATAATTATTGCATATCAAAAACATTCCAGCTTGCAATCGGACGTTGTACGGTGACGTCGGTCGGACCTACAGGGTGGAGATACGCCGACCTAGGGAGGATCGACTGCCATTCCTGTGTCATCTCAACTTTACTGCCGCTGGATCCGATCTTGGGGATCTAGTCCAGGTCGGACATAGAAATGATGTAGTTGTAGAAAATAATGCTGACTGGGGTGGTGGCCCCGCGACCGGCGTGGGAGTCTGTTATGGAGCAGACAGCCGGGCCGCGCCGCCGCGCCGCGTCGGAGCCCGGATAATAATTTATATCCTTGGCTTTTACGATTCTTATCGCGTTTATTGGCGAAATTAAATCAGGCTCTCGCGCTCGCTGAGTAAACATTCCGCCATCACGGAATACGCTTACTCTACAAATCCTTGATCTCGTGAATCAAAGTTACCGAGTGCATTTTTGATTCCGATTGAAATTGACACATCGATTATTATATCTCCCCGCAAATAATAGAATCGATATTTATGTTATTAGCGGAATACAGTGGGGAGTCTAGGGCAACTTTTATTTATCGCGATAAATCAATCCGGAGATGACAGAAGTGTAAAAAAGATCGGACGAAAGTGTAAAAAAGACGTGAGAATGTCTAAAATTACACTAAAATCATTTAGATCTTTTTCTGCTGAATTATAGGAAATATTAAATATTACAAAATTATAATGTATTAAATTATAAAACAAAATTATAATGCATTAAATTATAAAGCAAAATTGAGTTAGTATATATGCTATGCAAAAATAACATACAACTTTTATATTATAGAAAATTTGCAGAAATTAATATAATAGTCCTTTAATGTATTTTTTTACATTACGGCAGTAATTATTTTTAAATTGCTGAAATATTTTGTTCATATTTTATTTTATTTTTACTACAATTCAAATTTTAACATTACGAGATAATTAACGAAATATTTTTTCTATTATAACCACGCGAAAGTCAATGACTTTTCAACTTGTGGTTCCAACTTTTGATATCTGTAATTTTATTTCTGCAACAAAAACCGTTAGCCAGTTGTGGAACGCGGATATTCGCCTACTCATAACTTTTAGAATAATGCCCTCGTGTTACAGTTAACTTTTGATACCTTCACGGTTGGCCGCTTTCTATCTTTTACGTCGGAAGGATGTCCAGATGGTTTTATGACTATTCGCGAGGAAGGTCGTCCTGCGACAGGAGGACAATGGTGCGGCAGCGCGTGGGGCTACACCGTCTATTACAGCGAAACTCCTTCCATCAATCTGACTTTATATTTACTACGTTTATCAGAACAGGTAAGAAATTGCGTTAGCTCACGGGAATGCGCGTTCTGATTTCGCGCAATTTAACAATATGAAACGTGCGCGAGATTCTTTTACCGAAATTATGCCCCAGATCGAAAAATTGTAATTTTGGATAAAATAATATCTGTAAAATTACTTTTTATTTTCGAAAAAATTGTAAGAGAGATACATCATTTGTTTTCTCGCTATCGAATTTTGAAATTTATTAGAATAAATTCTTACTCACTTACAATCATTATTAAGGAATGTCCATCTATTTATAAAAATTTGATCGACGATGGGAAGGTATTTGAGAATAAAAAGGAAACGCGTTACGGTCGTGTTACGGTTGTGACATAGTTTTGGGCAATTTTTCTGTCTCAGGGAATCGGCTACAACTTCGACTTCAAGCTGTCGTACAAGTTCCTGAGAAGAAGCGAAGCACATCTCAGATACGGAAACAGCAGTATGTCCACATGGCGCGGCGAGCTGGTGAACGGCACGTATTGCGATCGTGTCCTCACCAAATGCGATACTAGAGCTTGCCGACTACAGTCACCGAATTATCCCGGAGTTTACCCCAGGAATGTCACTTGCTACTATCGGGTGGAGCAAAACCGCGCGCCAGTGGGCCATCGAGCTTTACTCGCCGTTAGTCAACGAAACAGTCACAAGATACACATTAAGGACCAGGTCGTCAAGTACGACAGAAGTCAACGAGTGCTTAGGTAAGTTGTCCACATGTTTAATAAGTATTAAATTAACATATGTTTTCCGCGAGCATTCTTTCTCCATAAAAGAAACTTTTTATAAAAATCAAAAGAAAACATGAACGAGAGAGCGAAACGAATGCGAGTGAAACGGAGTAAATTTTCCAACTAAAATTTGCATGCTTTTCAAGGGTGTGGGATCAGTGTAACGTCGTGCAAGACTACTTAACGGTATATGACGGAGGTTCAACCTCAGATCGTGTGCTCGTAAGATTGTGCGGAGGAGACGCGGTACCCGACATCGTCAGTAGTCACAATACGATGTTGTTGGAGTTTCATACATCCCCGTACGACAATCCGTTTCATCCAGTTCCATTGTCTTTCCTGCCGGGATTTGAACTCGAGGTTCAGGTAATTCTCTGGATGCTGTAACATTATACTGTAACATTTTACAAAAATGTCGTATATACACCGTGCTAGAAATTTGTTATCAAATATAAACATTACGACTTTTATAAAAACTAATAAAGGGTAAACTTAGTTAAATCAAATCTAAATAAAAGTAAAAATATTAAATATATATCCGAAAAATATTTGTCTCTCGATATCTTGTTTATAAATTATATGTCATATTTTCATGCGTGTACAGGTGATCTTTGTCGATGAAAAATCTCGAAGTTTTGTGAAGGAAAACGAGAACTGCGATTTTTATATATCCGGCGACGAGAACTCATCGGGCATTCTGGAAAATCCGAAACATTCTTTACCGCCAAATACTACCTGTCGTTATCACTTCCAAGGAAAGCTTAATGAGATCGTTTGGTTATCGTTCGTTAAATATTATGCCGCCACCGTGGAAGCGGCTGCAAATATCGATACTACTGCTGATTGCAACGCAAAGCTTCTGATATGGGATGGTGATATCACTATGGACAAACTCGCTTCTAGTCGAAAAGTACGTACAAACTGAATCAACAAAGTTTATTATTTGATAACTTTTTCATTTCGTGCTAAAATAAATTTCATATTAAGTTTCATACTAAAATAACTTTGTTACTAAAGTAATATGTACAGATATAAACAGAAAATTAAAGGAGAGCGTCCTGTGCTTTTATAAAAATCTCGTAAAAAAGAATTTATTGTATAATCGATAATATTTCTTCTATGAAATCTAAAGATATTGGACGGATATAATTAACGATTTATTAAAGAAATTTTTATTGTTATATAGAATTGTTTATATTAATATTTATGTTATGTTATACAAGACCATTAAGATGTCTGAATTTTTATCAAGTCAATTAAGCACTCGGTATTCCATCCTGATGCCATTGCGTAATAATCGTTGCAGAATGTTACACTGATGGGACAGTTCTGTAAGGACGACATACCGCGGTTGTGCGACCACAGTTTGCTGCGCAACAGTAGCCGTCACACGCGACCGTGCAGTCTCGCAGAGAGTTACGTGTCGACCGGCCGCGATCTCACCCTGGAACATATATTGCGCCAGGGTAGTGCGCTCTATCCGATAAGTTTCGTGCTACGTTACGAGTTCGTGCACGAAGCCATTTCGTGCAACCACGTGTTCACCTCAACGTCGTCGACCTCATCCACGTCTTCCACATCATCCCTATCGTCATCTTCCTCCTCTTCTTCCTTGTCTAATACCGGCAAATTCGCATCACCAAAGAGCGTTTTCTTCTACGGTCGTGGCGGGGCTCAGAATCTGAGCTGCGTATATAAATTTGAGGCCGAGCCCGATCACAGGATAGAGTTGACTTTCGTCAAGGCATCCTTCGGCGGTAAGGACTGCACATCCGACATAGACCAGTTGGTGAACCGATGGACGTGCAATCGGCGCATGGCAGATGTTAAAAAGTTTGGCATGGCGAATCTAGTTGTCGCAGAATATCCTTGGCAAGGAGTCGAACTTGTACGTATGACGGCTTCTCTCTTCTGTATATTTAAAAGTCTGCCAAAGATGAGAGCTAGGTCTTTATTTACTCAACAATATTAATTCTTTATTTACAGGTTCGCGATTGTTTTTGCTCGAACATGAGCGAGAGAATCATCGTGCGAACTCTGACATCGAACATGGTGGAGGTCAGGTTCACTGTCACGCTCATGAACGTTACCCAGGATTACCGAGATTTCTTTTTCGAGGGAGAATATCGTTTTGTTCCCGTGAGCGCCGACTCGAATGAGCATGGATGTTCGACGAGACTCGAAGAACGACGATTGCGCGGCACCAGCGGCGAGATCTCAATTAGAAGTCCTCTACTGCAGGTGATCCCCGGCGTGGCCGCGGTAGAGGAGACCTTGACGAACATGGAAGATCTCACGGCGATGCAATGCGTGAATGAACCGTGGCTGATCGAACCCGAAGACGCGCGCATCAACTTCTTGTATTTGAGAACTGCTGGCTATAGCATCACCCAGGATAACGTCGAAGATTGTATGACCTTGAATAGAATCATCGTCTATTCAGCTGCAAATACGAAAGAACGCAGCGTAATCTGTCCAGAGGGTGGCGTCGACACAGCCAGGACAGTCGACTTCTTCTCAGGCGGCTGGAACTATAGCGCCGTGAACGCGAGCGTGGCAATGGCACAGCATTCCCGCAGCTTCGTTGTGGAGTTTCTCCAGCGGGAACCCGGTTTCCACGCCGTCACGTGGATCGCGATCTCCAAACGTTCACCAACCACATCCAATCTAGGCCCTAACGCATTCGCCATATTACCCGAAGAAGATTGCCCTTACAGGTTTGTTGCGATTTTTTCCATTATGTAGAATTTGTAAATATCCAAGTAAAGTAGAGAATTTAGAAATTTTTTAAACATTTACTTATTCTAAGTAAAATAAGTATAAACTAAGTATAAAATAAATATAAATAAGTATAAGATAAAATCAAAATGTAATCGGAAATATTTCATCTCTTTCAGATGTCCAGAGATTCAAGCGTGCATCAGCTCGGTTCTGTGGTGCGACGGCGTCCGCCATTGTCCTTCGGGCTTTGACGAGGAAGAGGCTAATTGCTCCTATCGTTTCGGGGTTACGCTGCTGTACGTCGCGGTGGGTGCCGGTGCTCTGGGTATATTTCTGATCCTCTTACTGGCCACCGGTTGCCTGAAGTACTGCCTCTATCGGCACAAGGCGCGCAAGAAGAAGAAAAATGTCGCCCTGAACGTCAATCATCTCCACGTAAATCACACCCACCACAATAACGGCTTGACCGGAAGCCGATTGAGTGGACGCTACAACCTAGCCACGCCCCAGGAGATGTACCTGGAGAATTATGGGAAGGACAGTATTTGTTGACAATACGCCATTGCCAATATCGAGACCACCGTGTGAATAGTCATGATTTTTAAATGCCTACCTCGCTCTGGCCCCCTCCCTTCCTTTACCTGTTTCCGCTACCCCTGAAGTAACGGACCGGAGTGTACGGCAGCCAGACACTCCCATCCCAAAAGCACACACATTACACGCGCACGTGCATACACACACATACATATACATACTCTTGCAGTAATCGTACGAAATCCCGTAGAATATATCCAAAGCACATAGAAGCGAGCGCACGAGATGAAGCATTCAATTGGTGGCGAAGATGGTTCCATCATCGAATTCTCTGTTCCTTCAATCTAATCTTATAACGATTAGTCTACTTTGAATAAGCAGATTACGGTCGACTCATTAAATCAGGATGGATGACAATCCGCTTATCGCGCAAGAATGGATTGCAAGACGCCTATAATTCTAACGAGTCGATGAGAGGAAGATGTACACGCACCTCTCGTACGCTCGTATATATGGCATTTACAATAACACCGCAGTATCATGGTAGGTTTAGATATACACGATTTAAGAGTAACAAGGTACGCGCGAGTGGACGAAGAGCAGCGAAATTGGCGTTTATATACGCACATATACAATGCTTCTAAAAGACGTAGGATATGCTGTTTTCGTTGAGTGCACTTTCGGTCGGTTATTGGATGAACGTCGTAAACATAACGTCTATGACGCGACTATGACGATAAAAATAACAAGATGAAGAGAGAGAAGGACGAAAATGCGAGCGCTAAAACGCGAGAGAAGCTCTTCACAGATAGTTTTCATGCGAATTGATGAGAAAAGATAGGATGCTAAAAGTTGTGCGATACGCGAGTGATATATTCGCGGCATTAAACTGAGTGTATATTGAGAAAAGATTGAGAAATATTCAATTGTATTCCTGATTGCTCCTGATTGCATACGTCCTGAGACGACACTCGTGCTTATCGTTAACACTAATTTCTTGAGGTCTGCGATTTCTTGCAATTTCTTGAGAGAAGACGAGAAAATCCGTTATACTCGGATCTTTTGCAATTATCTAGATTTTATCCATCCGTTGATGAAATTAGCTCATCATTTGTCAAATTAATCACTTGAATATGTTACAGTGATTCGTATTAAGGTAACTGCATAAAATTGTTTTTTATTACTAAAAGATGATTATTAAATTATAATAACGTCAGGATTTAATTAAAATTTCACGTACATTCGCAAATCTAATAGTCAACGTGACATCCTCAGAACCACATTATTGGTTCTAATGAATATTATAAAGAATTTATTTAAATTTAAATGGACCCTTTATCGAAAAATGCCCTTTATAATCTTAATCATTATCACAAATAGTCTTTGCGTGTTATCTATTAATGCATTATTTAGCTAATTAGTCATACATTATATTGCATTATTATGCAATATATTAATGCCCATTATATTATGTCATTTATTTATGCAATGATTTAGTCATTCGTCTCACTGTAATTCTGTTCCACATCAATTCAGTGATCATTTTTTTTATATTATCCCCTGATCCGCGGTTTTCAACTATCTAAACTTTATAGGTGATTTATGAGAGACAGCATGAGATACGTAGATAGTTCACTCGCATTAATCTAATAGGTTTGGTATCGATGCGCGTGGCTCGAACGTAGATATCCATGTGTAACTAATTGAATGCCGAAGAAGAGCGTGTACGCCGTAATTCTATTGCGAATGCAACAAGAATTAAGCAAACGAGACGATTAAGCGAACAATGGACGCGATCTTCATGCGTTAGCCTATTATAGACACTGTATGGTAAAGCGCGTTTAAACGTACGTCTGTATGCTGTGATAGAAGTAAGCGTATCAACAATCGGAAATAAATCTCTCGCGTGAACTCACGTTCGCATATACGTATCCTCGAAACCATCAGCGAAGATGGATCGCGATCTTTCGATGCGATCTTCCTTGACGTCGATATCTTAACGCTGTCCAGCATATAACTTCTAGATCATTAATCGTTCGAAAAAAGATACGTGGTCCAAACTCGAGTAATAAGTAAACTCGAGAAAAGTTGATTGAGAAGCGAGTTTATAGTGAGCCATTGGACGGAATAGTGGTATAAGTCGACAAAAATAAAAGTTTGAGACGTAAAAATTAGAGAGAAATAAAAAAATTCTAGATATATTACTTCTCTTTTAAGAAAAATATCGCGAGTGATCGCGATAAAGCAATTGAATTTTATATCTTCGTAAACTTTTCTTGTCTATTTCAATGTGAGGAGAAAAATTGCTTACACCACTGTTTTGAACAATGGCTTGTATATTGCATAATTTTATATAAAAATGGCCGTTAAATTAGAATTTATTGCAATCGCGATTCTAACGTTTTCTAACGTGTTAATTGTGGTATTTTTGTACATTTTTGCAAACTCATATACATAGACTTCGTGTCACAAAGTTTAAAAATTCCTACGCCGGTCGCGTTAAGATATCTTTCGCCAGTCTCATGAATTGCTCCGTGAATAATTCACTACCTATATAAGACATCGTCTATCTACACGAATACTGCCGCAGTTATATTATTTATTCATAAAGTTTTATAAGTCTCTTTCTACCCGAATACGAAAAACTGTTCGAGTATATGACATATTATATACTATAAAGACATGGAATCCAAAAGCAAGTAACGTACTAGCGAATAACGTAGCGTGCATCAGAAGCGAAACTGTGCATACGCCAAGCTCCTCGATGTGTTAAGCGCGCGATTGCAATATTAAAGACATGTTAAAATTTACTCTAACATATCGAAAGTTCGAAATTAATTTAAGCGCGCCTCCATCTAATACTACTGCCTAGCAAGACTCAAGTAGCGATCGTTTTCATGAATGACGAGGAACGATCCTTTCAAACAGAAATTCTCTCGAAATTCTCTCTTTTCTTTTTTTTTTTTTTTTACAAAGTGATTCCGTCAAAAAAGAACTCATTTCTCGTGAAATTTTTGATATATCCACGAACCGGTAGAGTTCTCTAAATCTGTCTCTAAATAAATAAATAAACGCATAAGTCCCTCGACGATGAAAACCAATGTAATACACATAGTAAAACGCATCGTTTCATGGGGGACGACGATTTATATTACCAATATCTTTCTACTGGCACGAAATGTCGATGTGACTCGGCCATTAAAAAGCACGTACGAAAAGTCGTTCCTGTCTTCATGCCGTAACTTCGAGCGAATCAGTATGGAATTTGATTTCTTCGACGGGTAAAAGTCTAAATCGTGGAGCGTGCACGTCACATTATGAGATTTATATGACTCGATGTTGATATGACTCGACTCCACGTCTCGCGCTCAATCGAGAATGCGTCCTACGATTATGAAAATATAGTAATATGCATGTATGTAAGAACGTACACGAAAAAAAAATGCCGTAGCACAAACTGGCTCGCACACACGTAGCTAAAAAAGTGGATGGTAAAGAGTTTTGAATCAAAGAGGCCTTGATTCAACGACGTTTCTAAGCAAGTATTACGCGTTACACGATGTATTGTAATCCCGTGTTTATAATTTTAATAAAATACCATCGCGTTAAAGAAATCCAGCAGAACAGTAGTCGGAAGTATGTTATTAATTCATCATTCGTTTTACTCTCTAAATCATTTTCTCGTAAAGAAAAAGTGCACGCTTTTACTCATGAAGAATCATCTGAAGAATTGTGATCCAATATGGGATTCAATGGGATTCAATGGAATTCTACATCAATCTGTACGATAAAGGATGACTGTAAAAGAACTATTGAGAAACCTGATAAAAGAGGAATCGTTAGAATTTGGAATTATTCAAATTAGATTTTTTTTATATTAATTCTCTGATTTTTTAAAATAATAATTAAACATTAACTAAATGCATTGCATATGATGAAGAAAAGATAGTTAATAGATTCATTACATATACAAAATAATTACAATAGTAAAGAATGAAAAGATATACAAAAAGAAAGAAACAAAACATATTTAGAATAATTTTAATTATTAAAAGTCCTTCGCTTTTTAAATATATTACGTACAGACAAATTTTTATATAATTTAGATAGACTTTTTACAAATATTCTGCCTCACAATTAAGTTACTTTATTCCTTGAAATCTTAATGTTATTTATAAAATCTTAATATTAATTTATTATTATTTATAAATATTAATTTAAATTTATAAATCCATATTATTCGTGCATCATAATGCGCATAGTATAATCTTTGTTCAATCTCTCGTAATACAAGTCCTTATAATGATTTTCGAATACATTATCATATGAGTGTATACTTTTCATACAAAGTCCATCACATTGAAAATAATTATTTACGATTTAAAAAAATTATGATTTGCAATATATTAATCTTTTTGAACATACTTTGAGAGAGAATCCTTCGAAAAATATAGAAGACAGTTATATATTTATGATATTTAGATAATGAAGATAGTTTTAAAATACAGAGAGTAACTTTTTATATAACAACATACAATAAATTAATCATATAAAATCATTGAATATGATCTTCACGATTACATTTCTCAAAATAAATGCTTTCTCTTTCTATTTTCTAACTAATTATATCAGCTTAATTTTTACTTATACGCTCTGATAAAATTCTATATCACAAAAAAGAAAGAGAAAGAGAGAGATCGCACGCGACATCAATATCGCGCTCTTACGTTGTTTGCCTCTTGACATTTTCCACCCGTCAATTTCCCATCCGTGAGAAATGTAAAACCGCGCGTTTGCGGCCTGACAGATTTATCGCGTCGATCTCGATGAAATATTCATCACGTCGTAAACAGGTCCGCGAAAAGAAGGAATCCTCGAATGTCCAACGGAAGCGCATCGTTCGCCGATACGGCGATACATGCCAAATTGGAACCGCCGAGATCGTTAGACGGTGTCGAAGATGCTGAGATCATTTGGGACACCATTACACGGCGATTTCCGCAGGCGGCACCGCTTCTCTGCGAAATGGAAACGGTAATTGAACGAGCCGAGGATCTGTTGCAGCAACTCAAGACACCCTCCTGCGCTCAAGGAAATGGTACAATTCCTTGTGCAATCGATCAAGAAGCTCTTCATGCATATATGATGTTCTTCTACAGCAATTTCTCTCAAACAACAGAATTTTTATAATTTAATTTTTTTATAATTTGCATATAAAATATGAATTTAGTACGTAATAATAAAATGGTTTGAATAATAAAATAATAGCTTGAAATTAATGATTACAGTAGCGTGATCTAATTATGCAGAGTCTGCATTTAGCCGTGCACTTGATTAACCTCATTATAATTATCACGCTATTAAATTAATGGTATGCATGATAGAATGAGAAATACAAATAATTTATTCACGAGGAAAATTTATCTTTCATAGAAATATGATGTAATATACATAGGTGACCTACATCCATCTGTCCGTTTCAATTATATTTGGAATTAATATATGAATTTACTGACAAATTGTCGCATCTATAAATTATATGCCGATTTTTTTCGAATTTTATAAAGTTAGCTCAATATTAATTACTAGATCCATTTATAATTATCAATATAACACAAAATTATTTATCAAATTATCGCGAATGAGAATTTTGTGTCTAATTTCAGTTTCTAAATATTTTAAAAATTCAACAATTTTTATAAATAATTTTTATAAATGAAATTTTTTAAATCTCTTTAATATTTAAACATGAATAATGTCTAACATAATCTATTATCTAATACTCATTTGATATTATAGACACGTCCAACTCGTTTCACACAGCTCTTTTCCCGGATTCTCAGGATTCTAACACGACGATAGTGTCTGATATAGAATTCGTTCTCGCTGAAGATGAAACGAATGTACGTAGATCGACATATTTTTCACTTATTGTTACATTGCTATTTTATTGATCGGAATTTTAAACGAAAACACTTTTTCCAAGATTTTGGAACACCCCGAAACCATCGAGAATATTGAAATGCAACTTGTAACGCACGATATTGACGAAAAGCAAATCGACTTATCTCAACATCATAGTGGCCAATCTATTCAGTGTGAAGAAAAATATCCCAATCAGAGATATTATTTGAATTCACCTTCAAGAGTCGATAAAGTCGTTCAACATTTCAAAACGAGTTCGATGAATAAATGTCAGAATTCCCAAGGGGAATCAGACACGAATATAATGGATAGCGGTGATAAAGAGATCAATGTTAGTTCTGAGGAAAGTGAGTGATATGACATTTGTAAAAAGTAAAACTCTATAAAAGTACTTATCAGCACACATCTGAAAATATCTATAATATTACGTAATTTAGAATTGGTGGAAACAATAGAAGAAAAAAATAGTTTGGAAGGGTGGACAAAAGTCGCTGATAATGCATTACAAGAATGGTACAACGATAATGGCACAGAAAATATCGATATCTATAGTATGTGTATATAAAATTAATATTTGTGTATTATTGTGTAATATTTGTTAATTTTTGCAATTAACAACACATATAACACAAGAAGTATACTTTTAGATATAAATTTGCTTTTAGATGATAATGATACAGAAACTCAGTCAAACATAAATATAGATAATTGTTTGCTTATGATCAATAAATGTGATGAAACTGATGCTTATAAACCCAACAGGACCGATGATGTAAAAATTATAAATAACACTTTGCAGGTATTAGATGCATTTTTATATTACATTTATATAACATGCTTAAATAAAAGTAAACAACACAAATCTTTTCAAAATCATGTTCAAATTTTTACAGATAAATATTTGTATTGCATTTTCTAATTTATGATTTTATTTCTTATGAAGATGCCTTTAACTTATTTTTAGTATTTTATTCCGATAAAAGCATTCACATATTATAGGATATCACTGCAAAATGTTCCGCAGTAATTGCAAATCCTCGTTCGCCATTGACTATTCTTGAGGAATATGCGAAGCGATGCAAAGTATCAATCAAATACGAATATAAACCGAAATCAAATCTATATGTGATAAATGGTGATCTGTGTGGATTTCGCGGTAGTACTTTATATTTTATAAATAGAATTATCATCATAGATGTTAGATACTATTCTTTCATTCGGTAACAGTGCAGATTACAATGCTTATTATTTCTTAATTATTAATTAACTTGTCCTTTATCTAACGTCCAAAAATTTTGCAAGTGCTTCTTTACACGTTGTTAAACATAGTTTGGATAATGTGCCAGCAATGTCTTGTTCCGCGACCAAGGATCTGGCTAAAAACGAATTGGCGGCAAAAATATTATGGATGGTAGCCGAGCGTCAGATGGATGGTTCGAAACTTTCGTCGTTCATCTGTGGATTATCTGATTTTTCGCGAGAAGAGTAAGTTCAATAATGTAATATAATAAATCAGAATATAAATTTTAGCAATATAAAGTTTGTCGGAATAAGAAAAAAATTCACTCATTTTAAATAATGGATCCATTTCATATAATATAAAAAATTGAGTAAGAGCATAGTGAAAATTAATTTATACATAATATATGCACATTCAAACGTGGTAAAAGTATTTAAAAAATCTAAAAAAATGTACACTTTTCTAATCCTATATATCTGATATCTAGAATGTTAGAAATAATAGCACTTCATCAAGGCGAATTAAAGAATGCGTCGCAGAAGCTCTATAAATTTTGCCTCGAGAAAGGTGAACCTACTCCCGAATACTCTATACGCAATTTAAGAACAACTCAAGGGTTCATGTATGCAGCTCAATGCATAGCTTTAGGCCGTATTGGAATTGGTACATATATGCTCTTTTAAAATATAAAATTCAATATATATATGCCAGTATACATTAAATCAATATTTCAATCAGTTTTTTTATTCTGTCACGTACAAGGCTGATTTAATATTATTTGACATTTTAATAGAAAAAAATTTGACATAAAAGAAGCGCAATAATTTATTATATGTTTCTTTTCTTGTCTAAATAATTATTGATAATTTAATATTAATATTTTTTTCTAATATTTTTAGGACAAGGCTCTAGAAAAGATAGTGCTAAGATTGCGGCTGCTGAAAATTTATATCAAAAATATATTCAAGAAATGGAACAACAAACAATGTAAGCTGATATCATTCAAGAGATCTATCAAATACTAAGATGATTTATTTCATATTTGTTTTTAATAATAAAATTTCAATATGTATATATATAATGCTCTTGAATTCTTCTATGCTTGATTTAAATCCATTTGATCTTCTTTATCATGTTGAAAAAAGATTGATCAAATTCAAACAACTTACACACAACTTTACAACACAAATATTAGAAAGAACCTGGTTAAGAAAATATTTTAATACAAAGATTTTATCATTATAGTCTCCATTAGTGGTTTAATAAAATTAAACACTTAATCCTTTTACAAAAAAATAAAAGGCTTATAGAATTATCATGGTATTTTGGCAACGATCCAAGGTAACTTTCCAGTTTTCTTGAAAGACCAATAATCGTACAAAAGCTTACCAAGCACAAGGAATATTAATGATGCTAATACAATGTTTAAAATATCGAGGGGATGAAGCCAAGAGTCTTCATCCGGTGAAATGCAAATCTCTGTCCTCGTAAGATCGCGAATCTACAAACCAATTTTATTACATTAAAGCGCGATGTAATTGCAGTTCAATTTCATTATTTATACATCTATTTTTCAATAATACGTCTTGATAAGAAAAACATGCAAATAGTCACCTGTTTGTTCGAGTTATCGTTGTCGCTTGTGAGAGCGCATCTTATGTCATTGATATCTTTTACTAAGTTTGAATGCCTAATCAAAAGATCCTACAAAGGTATAAATAGCACTTTGTTAAATTAATAAAAATTATGAATTATGATACGTTTATCATCATTTTAAAAAAGCGCAAACATTATTGAATTCGTGAATATTAGATATTAAAAATTAAAAATTAGATTTATTATTGCATAATTCTTTTTCATCTCTTCCTATCTTTATTTAACTTTTATTCATAATTATTTTGTAATTCTTTTAAAATTTTAGATAAAAAATATGCTGACTTCAATTAAATGAAAAGAATAATTAATTGCCAATAAAATTGTTTTTTGTCAATTTTAAATACGTTTAAATATATAGTAGAGTATATACAAACTGTATTGTCAATTTAATCATACCTGAAAACTCGGTGTAAAATGACAGTCACATGTCCACGAATTATTACCGAGATATAGGTCAGCTACATTGCTGTTGTGCAACAATGCGTTTTCCAGAGCGTAAGTAGGCAACTGAAAGAGGCAGAACAAAGAATCATAAACTATATCTATAGGCTCATTAAACAGTAACGAGTTTTGTTGATATAAAACAGTGCGCATAATTTCTAATCTTCTTAAATCGCGTTTAATTTTGATTTTCTTAATCATCGACTGCATGGAATTAGTTCAATCAATTTTTCCTTTACTTTAACATGTCTATCGCGCAAAATAAATTCAAGTCTTCACAAGTAATTCGATTCACTTCGATACAATGAACTAACATCGATGAGTTTATTCCCTCGGAGATTAAGGAGCCGAAAATGGTCTAGCCAATCTGATCCTTCTAGCCGAACGATAGATTCGACTAGATTATCGTCCATGTAAAGATCCCGAACCGACTTGTAGGAGGGATTTGTCGTGAGTGGAGTTAGGTCCGTAATCTGCATGGTAAACAAGAAATTAAAAGTATGTCTGCCACATACATATTTTATCTACCTAATAACTTATATAAACACGAATCTATATCTGTGATATATATATATATATATATATATATATATATATATATGTATGTATATCCATTATACAAGAATAGTAAAAGAAAGAATAAAATATTTTATATTAAATTAGATTCATATATTAATATTTATTGTTTAAAATATATTCGCAAAAATGCATAGATATAATGTAAATTTTGTCTATAATTCTTTTTCATTTTTATTCATATTTCATGTGAAAATAACAAGAATCAGATAGAACCTTATTTCCAGTTAGGCGAAGAGTCGTCGTATTTGCGGGTAAAAAATTGGGCATTTCAGTTAGATTGCGATGGCTACAATTGACTGAAGCAAAAGCTATAAGCTGTTTCTGTGTAAACATGCCCGCACCAATCACATAAATCAATTCACAATCACAAATTGTTTGCTTGCATTCCTCTTTTAATGTCTAAAAATTATATTGATGTAGTTAATATGAGAAATTTAATATACAAAATATGTAATGTATATATTATATATTCTACTCAGCTCTTCAGTTACAAGAGAGGAGTGTATTTTCTCGTTACCGCGATTATCTCGACGATCGGGAGAAGCGGTCTTCCATCATACGGCGTAGCGCAAAGTAATTTGTCTTTGTCGACGACTTTACTCGCGGCTGATCCTTCGTTGGGGTCCAAAATCCATGCTGTATCCTCCGTACATCTCAATGGATTACCTTCGTCAGTATATCTTCATTAATTATCCATGACGCGCACATTAATCGAATGTGATTCCTTGATTAAACAATTCGTTGCTAATAAACTATCTCCGTATACAAGAAAAAATATCATGACATTTTAAATACAAGTAGATTAATATATTTTAATTTGTCAGATTTCTTAATTATTATTTTTCATTTATAAATTTTACTTTTGAAAGAAATCACATTTTGAGGACGATCTAGATGTATATGACTTTTCTAGATGTATGTAACTAAAAACTTTATAAAATTATCCTTACCAGTCAGAAGAATATGCTTTAATGCAGGCATATTAAAAGCCGTTACGTTGATGTCTTCGAGAGCATTGTTTCTTAAATCAAGACATCTCAAGGAGCGCAGATTAGAAAACGCATCTTTTGGAAATGTATGTAGCTTGGTGCCGGTTATATTGATTTTCTATTAATATAAACACCTCCCCACCAAGTTCTCATAAATATTCTCAAGATAAAATCTATACGTAAGATATATTTTGCGCACACACATACACATAAAAATGAATTTTCATGATCAATATCTTCCTATACAGATTACTAATTTCTATTTTAATCTCTTAATAAACGAAATAACGTTACAATTTATAATTATTATTATTCTATTGTTCATGAAAATTCAAAGAAGCAACCTTAGTAAATTCTAAATATAATGCTCTCAATTGCTTTCCGAGCATTTGATAAGCATTCTCTACCTCAAGAAATTGTGCCTCGATCGGAAATGCAGTTGACAATTGAGTTAAATTACTATTTGCGATCATTAATTTTCGCAAAGACGTGAATCCTCGTAGAACATTTGGATCAAACGTTGCTTTTGGCCACTCGCAAAGAATAAGAATCTGCACATTTTCAGCCCTAAAAATCCAATAAGAATGTCATCCATAAAGAAATCATAGAGATGTTATCAGACAATTTACAGTCATAAATTTCAAACAATTTAATTTCGTGTCAAAGAATGAGTGGTTTTCTAGCTCGAATTTTAAAAAAATGTCCGACAATGTAGAATTTATATTTTAAATTTATTTTCCAACATCACTTTACTTACTTTGCTTTCCATTCATCTTTAAGACCGTTAAAACAGACAAGACGTTGCCGACTTTTCACAAAATCACATTCGGGATGGTCATTGGCATGTGGATGATGCCAATAACAAATATCATCGTCTTGCGTAAAACCATGCGAAAAATGTGCATATATATAGAAAAATGCGATTCTGTAATTGAAAGGATTTTATTTGTATAACCGTGCAAAAATTTTGAGAAATTAAATTGCTAAGAAATAATCGCAATGGCATGTTCTTTAATGGAATTTCGATTAACTTTGCTCATCATTATATTTAAACATACATATCTGCATAGGATTACGCGAAAATTTATACTTTATTTAATCATATAACAAAATCTTGCACTTTATTTAAACGTTACATAATTCATGGATTCTCGTAAAAATATGTGACGGAAGAATATGTGAGAGATTTATAATCTTTATTACTTGGCAGTTTTTCATTGTTTGTACAAGACGCGATAACGAGACCAAGGTATCATTATTTTGTGTGTTTTCCTTATTATATATTAATTTATATATATAATTTAATACCTCGCATTTAATATCTCCCTCGTCTATCAACTTTTTTAATCATATCGCAGGTGTCTTAACTTATCAATACTTTTTCACGATTAATTAAACTTAACCTTTTAAATAATTCTGTTTCATGCTTAAGCATGCCTAATGAGTGCGAACAAATCACGCGACACAAATATCTTCGCGCTTACCTTTGATTGTCAACGCGAAATTTGCGCGCTGATACTAAATATCGTGCAAATATTGTTACAGTTATTTCTGCTAATGATGGCCCAGCCTTCGCGCAAAGAATTTCATCACAAATTTTAGCAATAATATGATTTATTACTAATTAAGTACGACTTTTTTACTTACGCAATATATAAATGCATAAGTAATATCTAATTAATAATTATTCATAGATTTAAATTAAATAAAGTTTATTGTTTCAAATAATTTAAAAACTGTATTATTATATTAACATCATTCTTTGATAGATAATTCATCAATAAATCTATCTAGCAATATAATGATTAAATATTCTTAATCAAAGTTTATAAACATGCCTTCTAATGGTTTCTAAACACGAGTTTTTTCAGTTTACAATTAATGTATTTCAAAGGATTTCATACTTTAAAGAAACTATGTACAATCTTTTACAAGCTATAAACAACAACAAATTTATTAATTTGTACAAAATATTAAATCGAGAAAAATAGAATAAAATTTAAATACTCACAAAAAAGTTCGTTGCGCTGACATTTTCGTCGCTTAAAATATTTTAAGATGCTATAAATAAAAATAAATGTTGACGAAACAAATTTGCAAATAAATATGTGTTTGTCTATCATAAACAAAGTTTTGTATCACTCGGCACTCTTTTAACGCGATATCGATCTAGCAACGGATTCGCATTACATGTACGATCACAACGGGTGTTGTCTGAAGAATGGCAGTGATGCTAATGAGAAAATAGAAGCCGTATATTCGGCATGTCAGGTGGATAACTAAAACGATAGCTTAATATGTAGTGAACATATTGCGCGATAACAAGCGCAGCATGCAAAGATGCAATCTGCCTTGTGCAGTGATGCAGATTATGATAATGCATTTTTCAAGCAGTGCAACTTGAAACGTCAAAGTGAATGACGCAAGCATTGTTATGAATTTTTGAAAAAATTTTAAAATGTAAAAATATGTCATTCTCGTTTATAACGTACGAAATATATTATACTGTCGCAGAAAAAGAAACTGATTCGAATAAATATTAGTAAATCTATTTAATAAGAAAATTGTATGCGTTGTTAGCGCATATAAGTTATAAAGTCAAAGATATAGTCATTCAAAGATATTTTAAAATAAATGCAAAATTAGCAGAGATTTAAAAAAATAAAAAAAGTCAAGTTTAATCAGATTTAATCTATTAATATAGATACCTATTATGATGACTAAAAAACGTTTATCTGTCAAATTTGTCAAATCAGGAAATACATTTGCATACATTTGTATAAGATTAAGAAGTTTCGAGAATATAAAATATATATAGACATGACATGATATGTATTCACAAAAACAAGAATTATTCAATAATTTTATCGAAAAATGTATAACAATATTAATTACCTAAATAGAAATTATTCGACAAGTAACAGAAGCAAATTAATTAAAGTTATTTATCTAAATCAATAATAACAATTTTTCTTCCTGTTCTTCCTGTTCTAAAATTTATCTCTCTTGATAAAATTATCTCTCTTGATAGCTTGGATCTATCATTCTCAGCGTTGAAGTGACAGGAACGTGCGAGCGATAAATTTTAAATCGCGAGCCATATACAATTAATTTCTGGACCTGTCAATCAATGACTTGGACAAATTTTTAGCCATTCCTGTTGGCGCGCAAATGTATTCCACGAAGACCGGCCTTCTTTATCGACCGAGCTTCGAATGATCCGTTTTATCTGTGAAATCCTCTCCGCGGTCCTAACCGTGCAAGCGCAAACGAATCCTTAGCGCTTTTACGGACGCGATCAGCGTGCAACCCTCCGGCTGGCCATCGGCTGCGTCCTCGTGCATTTCATCAAAGCAGCATCCGGCAAAACATTCCAATTCGGTGGACTATCACGCATTTATATCAGGTGGGCGTCGAGAGAACGTGGACTCCTCTTTTGCATCGTCCGACCGTGAGAGCGTATCCTGTCATCCGGAGATCGTCGCAGACCTAATGTCAGGCATAGCGATCGCCAGGCTCGCCGAGGAGCGAAAAGCATGGAGGAAGGATCACCCCTTCGTGAGTTTCCGGCAGACCACGTCCCTGAGACAACCGGCATCATCCCGTTTTTCGCGCGCGCGAAATGCGTCGATCACGATTCCGCGACTGTAAACAATGGCTCGTATCCTGCTCCGAATAAGAGAAATGGCTCGAAAAATATTTCATTTAATTGATAATTCTGTTGAAGTGACTGGTTTGCCTAGAAGAAGGATTAGGTTAATCTGTAATTAATATATTGCGAGTTATAACATTTGCGTGCAAAGTGGAATTTTAAGTTCTCGAGAATATCATAATTGTAGCTTGAAATCTGTAATGTAAAGATTCCTCGAAATTTTCAAAAATTCTCATAAAAATATCAATTCCAGCATTTTTTATAGAAATATCTGAATTTTTATTAGCAGAGAATGATACAAAAATAATCATTGATTGTAGGGTTTTGTGGCTAGACCAACCAAAAACCCGGATGGTTCTCTCAACTTAATGAGTTGGGAATGTGCAATACCGGGAAAAAAATCTGTGAGTAAACTTCTTTCAGATGAATTACAGAATTATGTACATTGGTATTGAACACATAGTTTTGCAGACTCCTTGGGAAGGTGGATTGTATAAGCTACGTATGATTTTCAAAGACGATTATCCATCGAGTCCACCAAAATGTAAATTTGAACCTCCGCTGTTCCATCCAAATGTTTATCCATCTGGTACAGTTTGCTTGTCGCTTTTGGATGAGGAGAAAGATTGGCGACCAGCTATCACGATCAAACAGATCCTTCTTGGTATCCAGGATTTACTAAATGAACCAAACGTCAAAGATCCAGCTCAAGCAGAAGCATACACAATATATTGGTATTGTTTACGAGACTTATTACAAGATATAAAAATATCAATATTTAAAAATTATCATTGTCTATTTTTTTGTACAGCCAAAATCGTCTGGAATATGAGAAGCGTGTTAAAGCTCAAGCCAGAGCAATGGCTCCACAAGAATAAGCACAAAAATATCAAACCGAGATACTTGAAATCTGGGAAAAATATATTGTATGTGTGTGGACAAAACCTAAAGCTAGTCCATTACTCTTACAATTAACTTTTTTTTACAAATAAAATTAACATATATTATAACTAGTTAACTAGCTTATATTTTTAAAATTTATTTACCGCATATTATTTTCATTCATTATAAAAATTTCTTAAAATTCAAAGTAGAACATATTATTTTTAGTAAATTGAATACAAATTTTTTTCACACACATATAGATACTCTCTTAATATTAAGAATTATGTTGTGAAATATGTATTTTAAGACAGAATTATTTTTTGAAACCTGAACTTTGATTTGTAAGTCTTATAAGTAATCACTGATATTATTTTTAAAGCGAAGATTTGAGAGATATAAATAATGGCAACTATATATAAATAAATGTCTTGCTCTTTCTGAATTCTATTCTATCTTTGAATATAACACAGAGACTATCTCTTCTCTTGTAGATAAACTTATTTAAGCATCTACTAAGTAATGTACAAATTAAAAAAAATAAAGATTTTGATTGATCGAAATGTGTGGCAAAATTTAATTTCCACAATGTTTATCTTTGATGTTTTGGCAAATTTTATGCAAATGTGTTTGTTGAAAGAAAATAGGTTTCTATATCAATGCATTTCAAACATAAATCGATGTGACAGTGAGTTAAATTCAACATGCCGTTGTCTTAATACTCTATTATCGATCGTGTTATCAGCATAATTATTCAAACGCGAATGCGTCGAACCGAGAAGCATCATCTCAGGATCATTTATAGTACACGTGTACGATTACATCGTTGATGAACCTCAGAGTACAAACATACAGCGTGTATATATGTGATATACACAGTGACATAGAGATAATTTTATATTCCAGTAAGTGTCTAGTGATATTCAATTCTTCAACAGGATGTCAGCTGGAAACTGCGCATTGCGAAAAAACAACACCGGAATTTTATTCGCGTGCATTGTTGGTTTGGCATTATCGTATTATGCATACGTCGTGGAAACTAAAAAGGAACAGGATGATTCATACAAAGCCATGTGTGACATTTCGGAGCATATCAGCTGTACTAAAGTGTTTATGACCGAGTAAGTGAACGTAAGATATATTGCTGCGTCAGCATATTAATCGCATATCGATTGATAATAATGTTTCTCACCATATGTTTCACTAAATGTGATATTAATTATCATCTATTATATCATCTGTTTTATACATTATTCTATTTTATTTACAATTTTTATTCTATATATTTAATTACCATTTCATGAGATTTTATTTTATTTTTCATTTAGCGAATAATTTTTCATGTTTTATTTAAATAAAGTTCTGATTTAATCGCGTCGAATAATCAAAGCAGCAGGACATATCAATATTTAATGATTTATCAGACTGAAAGTTGTACATACAAATCGCGTTATACTACTCTACTCGTTGCTCCGCACCATCGCGATCGACGAGACACCACATGATCTGCCATGATTATTGCCTTTAAGCGCGAATTTTTAAAAACAATATATATTGATATTTATGATGATATAAAGAATAAAATATTGTTCTTTTCAACGCGATTTAAAATCAACAATATAAAGAGAGTAGTATAAATATTAAATAAAATAAAAATTGTATGATGCATGACATGATTTTAAATTGGAGTATATGTATGTGTGTGATCATGAAATTATTTAAGATACATATAACAATAATCAATTAATATATTGTATTTCAGATATGGCAAAGGATTTAGACTAATGCCAAAAAATTCCATATTTAACATCCCGAATCCTATATATGGTTTAATATTTTATACTCAGATTGCAGTTTTAAGTACGTATTTGATTATTAATGAACAATCTGTATCCATATTCTTTCACATATTAATGATAAAACATTTTTTTCATAGGTACAATTAATAACTATTCCTGTTCTGCTGCTGTTGTCGCTTTTGGAATACTTTCTAATATTTTATCTATATACTTGGCATATATATTATATGTACTTAACACTATTTGTGTAGTATGTATTTGCACATACATCGTAAACGCAACGATTACATTTTTTGCTATTAAAGAATTTCGAAAATTATCTACTGGTGTCGCCCACAAAAAGAAGATGAAATAAGTTTAGAAAATTTATATAAATTTAAATGCAACTTTTTATAATTGAACAAGATGATACTGTAACAATTTTTTTACTTTAATATTGTATAATATGGTATAAGTTTTTACATAAATTTTATTTTTTGTTAAATAAATTTATTAGTTAATTATCTGCTTACGTTTTTAAAATATATAATATTATGTAAAAATATTTCTAAACATCCAATATATTTTTTAATAAAAGAAATAATGGATGTACACAAAAGTGAAATAGAGAAGAAACTTATTACATGTTTATATTATATATAAACTAAAAATATAAGTAATATCGGATCTATATGAAACTTATATATTCATTTAATAAAACTTATACATGTTAACCGATATACAGAATGTTTCATGTTTTCGATACCTTCTTTTAGTTATCTTTTCTAACTAAAAAGAATCAATCAAGTAGAACTATTTGTTAATAAAAAATATATTTCAAAGCGTTTAAAGAATATGTGAACAATAAAAAAATGATAAATACTAGACACATTGTATATCATGTTCACATTGTTATCACCAAAATTAGTACCAATTATACGTTTTTTTGTGAGAAAATCAGAGTAATTTAATTTAAATTAAGAATACATAGTACATAAATGTTAAAAAATACGAAGAATTTTTTAATTAAAAAAATTTAGAAAGATTTGGAATAATTATGTCATAATTTTTCAACGTATTTCATTCTTAATGTGACTCAATTTGACTCACATAAAAAGTTCGTAAAAAAATATTGCACATATTGTATAAAAACTTATACTATTTTTCCTCCATTCAAATAAAATTATCGACTATTATATAAATTCTAGCACCATCTGCTAATTTGTTGGGCAGTTTCAAAGATATGTCTGTTTTATTATTTACTCATATCAAGTACGATATTATTCCACATTAAAATACATAAATGTGGAAATAAAAGAGGTCAACTGATTAATGAGGATAAATTTGATGATATAACAGTATTATATATCTACATAGAACAAACATGTGTGATCATCAATGATGCAGTTAAAGATAGGAGGGATCAGTGGCAGTGGATCTACAGAAGAATAAATACAGTCAAGGATTACCGAAAATATACGTACAAAAATCTATAAAATACATGTAAAATATATATATATATATATATATATATATATATATATTTGTTATTTTATTAGAGCTGTAATTTTTTACTCACGCTAAAGTGGAAGATCTTTGCGTATGCTTATCAGGAAGAAAGAGGAGAGGGGAGAAAGAAGAAAATATAATTTAAAACTTGATATATACGATCATTGACGGGATCACCTTAATATTTACCTTCTCTTAAAAGATCTCTGTTACTACGACTAATGCTGGCGAGAATGCCCGGGCTCTTCAGCGGCGGTGGTTCGTCCAACCGGTTCAGGTGCAAATTAGAGGTATATGGTGCGTGTGTCGAGGTATCGACGCCGTTCTTGTCGACTTCGACGTTAAAGCTTTTGCTGCGCGATAGCGAAGATTTATATGTCCGTTCAGGTTTCGGCGGTGCTTGAAGAGTGCTGTACGTGCTCATCATGTTCAACTTGGACGGAGTATTCACTGCGTTCTTGATCGATATGTTGATCATGCTACTGTGTTGCTGACCTGGTTTTTTGCCGTGTCTGCTAATGTGAGCAGCTTGATGTCGTCTAATTTGCGATGTTGTCTGCGAACGAGCCGTTTGTCCAGCACCGGTGGAGTGCAGATTTCGCGGTAATGTTTGGATGGACCGGAACTGCTCCTCTTTTTCGTAATCGCCGACCAGTCTGCTGGTGGATTTGCTAAACCTGCCGAGGGAGCTGGAGGCAACGCTGAAACGCGGTCGTTCCCAAAAGGTGATTTTTTTCCGAGTCATACAAGATGACATTTTCTCATCGAATGAGCCTAGTAGTGTATGATTCATCATACACGATTCATGCGTCCCTGCATGCAGCCTTCACCCGAAATCGAAGCGAGTTTGGATTCATCGAGATGACTTAAGACTTAAAGACACCCAAGCGGATTTAGACGTTTGCGTAATTTGGCTCCTGAAGCTTGTATACAGCTAACTTTGCCTTTGGCGATCAAGCAACACGAGATAACGAGTTTTCTATTTTAATAGGACGGACTCTGATAGTGAGAGACAAATTTTTGCCGACAATATATTGGAAATTATAAAATATTTTCGAAACAAACATTTCATGCATTATATGTGTAGAATATATTTCGGATTAAATTATAGAGCTTCTTCTTCGTATTTTTATTTTCAATTCGCAATTTATTCTTTTTGATGGTAAAAATCAATCATGCTTCATAATTTTTTAACATCTTTTTATATATTTTGTTACGTTTATATTCAAAATAAATTTTATTTTAAACTCACATATAAAATATGAATATAATATTATCTGTTTAATCGATCCTTCTCTATAACTTAGTCCATAAAAATTCTTAGTGACAATCCAATTGAAAAAATATAGATAACAAAGATATAGATAAAAAGAAGAACATACAACATTTTATAAGAAATACAATTTCAATAGTAAAAATGCCTCGATAATGAACAGTTATAATGAGTTATTTACAATGCGATTTAATTTAAATAATAAAAATTCAGCTGAAATTTGTCTCGCTCTCAATTAACTATGTCATATATCGAGTCATATTTCGATTACCTGTTTTCAGAATCTATGGCAACTCTACCAGAGCTCCGCGGTCTTCCGTGTCGTTGCCGATCTCTGCCGACTTCGTACCCTTTTTCGCGACCGTAGATGCTGCCGCCGAAAGGATCCTCGCCCAAGTAATACCTCTGTAAAGGCGGCGGTGTAGATTCACTACGTTGCCATTGCTCTTGAATGATTTGATTGGCCGTCTTGGTGGTTATTTTGGTGACTTTGTTCGGCACGTTAACATTTCGCGGCGACCGCGGCGGTCTCTCAGGTGGTTTATCCTCTATCACATCTCTTTCGCTGACGAGCGGAATATTCCGGTCGACGACGTTGTATTGTAAATAAGTCGGACCGTTGTCATCGGTCTGAGTCAATTGCGAGGCCGAATTACTTGCTCGCTTGTTCTTCCTTTCTGTACTGGCTGAACGTAATTTCCCCACCAGTTTCCGAAAGGATTCACCAATCTTATATTTAGAACCACAATCTGTAAGAAGAGAGATTTACACTATACACATTTTTTAAATGCAGCAGCCATAAGTATTATTGCAAATTTTTTAGATTTAGTTATTAATGCTAATTTTAATAATTTTCATCAAGTTTGACTTTTATCAATTTGTTTTTAATTTGACAATATATAGGATTAACTAATGATGTAGTTTTTTCTATAAATACGTGACCAGATTTAATTATTTTGAATTGAAGGGAAAAGAAAAGAAAACTTACTTTTCGACCCTCGTGAAGTGTCAGACTTCTTTTCTTCGCGATTGATTGTCGGCAACTTTGGTGAGATTGATCGCGATCGCGGCGAAATATTCTTATAATCGTCTCTTTCTGGAGTCTGTGCTTGAACATCGCGATTGCGACTCTCCCAGGTTCTTTGTACTACGTGTACAGGACTTGAAGTACGACCCAGCGATGATTCGTTCAAATTAATCTTTTCTTCAGATTTTGCCCACTAAAAATTATATGAATAAACTTCAATGCTACATACTACAATGAAACATTTTATAAATCTTACGCGACATAAATTGATAAGTTGTTCAATATATTTATAATTATATTTATAAAATTAATAAACAATAAAAATAATACACAAATGAACGAAACATATTAAACTTTTTCATCATTTAATATTATATTTTCTTATAAATTATTTATTAAATAATAAATATTGTTATCTCATGTAGAATAAAGGAGAAAAATATTTATACTTGTTCTTTTGATCTCCGACGAATCGGTGGAGAAGGTGTACGTCGTTCCTCCTTAGAATTTTGATACTCGCGTCGAAACGATTCGTAAGTTTTCGAATATGATGAGTCAATTGGATTTCTCTTATGCCCATGGGCATGTCCGTTGGTACGAATAGATTCCACATATTGAACTGGAGAACTTGATCGTGCGTGATTTTGTTTCTCTACACAGAATATATTAAAAATATTCATATTTTAATATCATATTATTTTTAATTATGTAAAAATAATTTGACACGTATATTACATAATATGTATCTAATGTAAGTGTCGTATTAATACTAAAGATATTTTTTTGTAATGAAATTATGTTTTTATACCTCTTCCTTGATATCGTTCCGACCATTCACTGATTCCATGATAATATCCTGAAGGTGAGGTCGAATCTCTACCACGTCTCTGATGACGACTGGAGTTTACGTTTTCATATTCGCGTTCTTTCGGAATGCAAGATTTCATAGTGACATTGATGTAGCTCGTATTAGTGCTGGTTGGAAGAGGAGAATCATCGGCATCAAGAGATCCGTGAGAAGAACGCGAATCGCTGCCAAAGTGACTCTCTAGCCATTTGGACGTTTCGAATTTTCTCGCCTCATCCTCTTCTTCCAGATCCAACGACTTTTTTGTTAAAGCGTCTTTTCGCCCGGCGTCCGAGAAACCTGTAGTAATTCGCAATTTTCTTTTTTTAGAAAATTGAACTGATGAGAGACTTTTTTTAGACTTCAATTCAAATCAAAACTTCAAACAGTGTCTGTTAAATACAAAATTTTGATAATTGAATATATTAAATGTTATTGAATATACTCTGGAGAGTGTGATGATAATATATTTAAAAATGGAAAGGAAGATCGTAGATTTATCAGCCATCAATGCTTACACTTCAATATCGCGCAGTTATCGCGTGACTGCCAACGATTCGTAAACATGTAGAACGCGATGGTAGAAAATAAATAGAGAAAGGCGACTTACCGGAGTATTTGTGGAAACGAGTCGTCCGCATACCCGTCGGTGATGGTGACCAGTCGCCTAATCGTTCTCCTTCGGTTGTCTCTGCAACGTAGCGCATTTCTCGGCCGACTCTCTCGCCGGCCGAGATGTAGTCTACCACGTCTTCTTCTCTCTTCTTCACGTATCTCTGCGAGCCTTCTTTTCTCGTTTCCGCGGCGTCGTCGTCGTCTTCACCGTTGTCCGGAACCTCGTTGTCGTTGATCTGAAATGAAAACGATCATTAATATTATTTGCATTGTTTCATGTATAATTTTTACTATTAATATTTCAACATTATTTATTTTGTACAAATATTTACTATTGTTTAATAATATAACATCAATAATAATAATAATATATTGTCTTTTTCTTTCGTTAAAGAAAGTTAAATTAGCAAAGTAGATTTAGAAAAGAAGAGAAAATTGAAAGCAAAAGTGTATTAGCAGGTTTTTGCGCGACTCACCTCTTCGTGCTCGACCGTTCGCTTCTTCTCGGTAACGATTAATCCATCAGCCTTCAGTTCCTTTTTCTCCAAGGTCTTCTCGGTGTCGATGACTTTGTTCGACCTGGTTGTGTGCTGAATGACCCGTGGACCGGACTGCGGCGCCAACTGCTTCGAAGATTCAGCAAGAGCGACTCGCAAGTCGCCTCTATTGTTACGCACTGCCTTCTGGTATGCCTGAAAACCAGATGTATCTGCATTAACCCCCGTCAGACCAGTTTATTACCTCCGCGCGAAAGTCTTCCTCTCCTCTCGATATACATATTTCGAAATCTCATCATAAGAACCGGCTGGTCCGGCTCTGCCTGTTTGCATCTTTCTTCCGAAAATATATTGCTTTTTTCAAGAGGGCTGCAACGTTCAAGAATAATTGTAATGGAACAAGTGCACGCAACTGTTGTACGCTGATAAATACAGATCAAAACGTGATAAGCTTGAAAATTATCGCCGAGGTATCTTTGATGAATTTCAATTAGCACGAACATTTATACTATGATAGCATCTAAATTACTTGAACTTAATAAGAGAAAATTGCAATTACAATTACCGGTTATTATTATTTTTCGCAAACTAGCTCATTGTATCGTAATAAGATCTTCCTGACAATTTGCGATAAATAATTCTGCGATTACCAATCGCAGATTAAAACATCTTTTATCTTAATAACATGATTTTAATCGTTGATTTACATTCGAAAATATGAAAACTGTAATTCTAATTTTTATACATTTGAAGTTTTCCTTTAAAAGTCGAGAGAGCTCGCAACAGCAATCTCTTCAAACTCGCTATTCTACAATGTATGTCAATTAGTTACGAGATGTATGACACTCATTTGTATGCGTGTAAGCCATCTGACAAAATGAATTAAAAATTATGCAAAGTGCCGGCTTTACGATGACACGACGCGATTCTCCTGACCTTCGCCGAGAAAACGACTCGGTATCTGTGCGCGAATACGTCGAGAACATGACGAGCATGACGAATCGTCATGATACGCACCGGAAAAATTGTCCACCGTGCTCCGATACGATTACGATCGAATCTATGTTCCGGTCTACTTGACGCGTTATGCACTCTGGAGCAAAGCTATTCCAGCTTCAAAATATGACTGTCAACGATTATTGTGTCTCGCTGAAAAGAAAAACGGATACGTCGCGTCCGATTAAGCAGCGCGTGTATTTCCGGCCGGATTATCTTTCGCGGCATCTCTCGCGCGAGGACAACTGGTCCGGTCTGACGACGACGACGACGACGACGACAAGCGAGGAATCTCGAGGCTACGATTGCGAAGGATCAGAACAGCGCGAAGAAACAGACAAATTCTGTCGGAAACGATATCCCTCTCGTCGCTATCGTCAAACACGGGACACTATCGCGGCTGAATTCGCGGCTGATCGCACTCGTGCGGTCGCGAGACGTACGGAACAGCTGCTGAGACTGCGGCTGCGGCATCTCATGGCTCCTTCATCGCCATTGGGTGAAGGGAGAACAAAATCGAGAGATCATCGACTTCCACTTCTCGAGATCCCTTTCCCTCTGTCTCTTTCTCTCTCTCCTTCTTCCTCTCGATTTCTATCGGTCTCTTTCTCCCTCGTTCTCTCGCTTTCCAGTTCGCCGTTCGCCATTTAACTCCGTCCTTCCTTCGTCCTCTTCGTCCAGAACGATCTGACCTCCTCCGTCCTGAATCGTTCATGCGCGCGAGAACGTCTTTTGCGCATATACCTGTTGCCCGTCTTTCGCAATCCAGTCCTCTTCTCCCGGGTATCCTCGCGAGGTTTGTGAAATCTTGCGATTGTACCGTGGATGCGGTTGCATAGATTCAATATCGAAAGAAAGGTTTTCTTCTATATTTCTAATACTATTTTCTTTAACTTGTATATGCGTAATGGACGCGCATAAGTGCACCATGTGTCCATTATGTCATTCAAAAAGTAATACTATACTAGTATGTTGTTATTACTATGTTAGGCAATGTCAAATTAATACTCTTAATTTACACTTTGCACTACAGAAATAAACGCGACAGTGAAACAGTTATCAGAAAATATATTAATATATTAATTTAGAAATAAATGGACATATATGCGCATTTATTTAATTATTTTTTTTTATCTTCTTTTATAAAAAGAAATTGCAATATTTTTATCTCAAGTCTCCTCTTTACATATAAATCTCTTTAAAAGTCTAGTATTATAACAAAAATTGACAATATTAATATTATAAATATTATATTGTCTAAATTTCATGTATCTTTTTAAAAAATTTTTAAAAATTATTTCGTAAGATTTAGCACATCGTATTGACCGAATCCCATCGAGCTAACATAAGATACGTCTTTACCCAACACAACGATGCGCGTGTGAGTTATCAGATGGGACAGGGAGAATCTTTAAAGAGAGAACAAACAGCGCGACCTTTTCGCGGCGCGTGAGATGCCGGGAAAGAGAATGCGCTAAAGCCGTATTCCCTGCGGCACGTGCAGGTGGAATTCAGGTGTGGGTGCGTCGCGTGTGTGCATATATATGTATATATACATACTTCATCCGAGATGTCCCCCAACTGTTGACAATCCTCCGTCTCAAGCTTCTCCTCGATCTCCTCGCGACTTCTCACCACCGTCTCATTGAGCTCCTTTTGCACGATGTTACCGCCACTTCCGGTCACAGTACCACCTGCCGCCGGCCGCCAGTCGACCTCCTGCGGTTGATCCCCGGTCGTGCGTCTCTAAACACCGGTTCACGAACGTTAAAAGCACGTTCTGTACACGTTTGCGCGTGATGTTACAAAGGAAGCTGAGTTCCATTCCGATGCGCGAACGTATGTAGACTCAACGAACAATAGATGCATCTCGTAAAAAGAGTGAGACAAAGCTTTTGCAACTAGTTTTTATATTTTTCATTTCTTCAAAATTTTGACTTATATATAAAGGAAGAAAGATAAAAAGATAAAATTATAGAAAAATTTCAGATACCAAGAGAATGATTTGATGTTATTAAATTCAATTATAGACTTACATACTTGTTGATTCCGCTATATTCGAAATTTATATCTTTTTCTTTTATAAATATATTTTTTATTTCAAAATTTATTACTTATACTCGCATAATAAACACGTGCAAACCTCTTGAGTCGTATGCTCCTGTTGCTCGACATCCTCGGTAGTGTTCGTGGTAACGAGAGGACCAGAATCGACAACGACTTCGCCATCTTCGAGAACGACCTGCCGTTTCACCCTGGTCTCGATCTGCCGGGTGGTCGTGATCTCCTTTTTCTTGCGAGTCTCCCATTCCTCTAAAAATCGGAAGCGGGTGTCTTTTCAGTCTCGCTTGTTGCGCAAAAGTAATCTCCCAGTCCAGAACAAACGGGTATAAAACGCAGGTGATAAATCGGCAGGGAAAGAACACGAAATAGCAGAAATATCTTTTATAATGTCTAATCATCTATCGCTTTTGCAAACATTTTTTGCAGACTATGCCAAACAATAGCTATGCACCAAGTAAACAGTTATTTCTGCGATCGTGATGTTTACCGAAGAAAGCAAACGGAAAAGAGGATGCATTTGTTGATTTATGTTTCTAGAATACCTGACTCACACTATCTAATCTTTTATTTAAATAACAGAAATGAGGGTTTTGACAGGAGGATATATGCGATATACTCAAATATTAGAATCTCTTGGGTGGGTTAGATATCTTATGACATTTTTAATACCTCCACTTAACATTGATAACGCGTTCGCATATTTGAACTCATCAATACGAAGAGATAAAAGAGAAATTCTAATTATATATTCGTCTCCTATGATTTGAATATGGATTGACTATGTGTTTGAAATATCTTATCTATTCTTATCTGTTATTTCACATTTATCATACATTCCTGCTGTTTATTGCTTTTCTAGTTATATGATGAGTTATGCCGATGTTAATTAGCATCACCTTTTCAGTTTACGCGCTGTGATGATATGAATGACCATAGATTACCATTTTTGTTCGTAGATTAACATTTCTTTTAAGTAATTTACCTTCTTTGACTAATGCCACGGAGTTCTCAGGGTCAACCTGGAAAAGGAAACAATACGCATGTAAATCCGCCTACGACTATCAGCGAAGAAGCGATTCCTTTTGGTTAAGGACATTCCAGGGAAGTTACGTATCGCTAGAAGTACGTCTACCGCAAATAACTTTGCCGTAACCGCTTTCTTACTCCATGTTACACGCGACTAAACTCCTGACCGACACCCGGCGGATTCCGATCCGACAGGGACGTTAACGTGATATAAGATTATTCACAAGATCAATTCTGAATAGATGCACGAGTGATTTGCGGGAAATCGATCTAACACACTTATTCGACTTAATCAAAAATAATTAATTAAAAAATTATTGAAAACTTCAAAAAATATTATTAAAAGGAAATTAATCGAAAGAAATTTCGCAAACAATGAATTTATGAAATAGTAAATTTATCCATCAAAGTTAATTTTTTATTCGAAATTGTTTTTGATCGGTTTTGCAGTTTTAGCTTCTATTTATTTTTTACTCGGCAAATTTTTATATTTTTCTCTTCAACTTATGTTTGAATAACTTATCATTTTGTCAATTTTTCATATATTAGGAAATTGCAAATGTGTAAGACAACTTCCGGAGAAGAGACGAACAAATACTTGAAAAAAATGGATTTTAAAGAACTGGAGAAAAGTTACTCACAAGAATAGAGGAATGGGTGTTTGTCGGTGGACGGACTTCGTACCGGCGTGTTGAAATTACCTCCATCATTCGATCATGTCTACTGTGAAATCTTGGTGTTTCTGTCGGGTCACTCTATCAATCTTTGCGAAGAGAAATTCAATTGACATACCATGAATTTCGGTTTCTCTGCACATAAATAACAAAAAGCGTACGTTATTTAAGTGAAACTCTAATAGAGGAAATATTATTTTAATTTATAGCGAATATTATTATAATTTATAGCGAAAAAAAATCATCGTCGTATTCATCAAATAAAAAAAATACATCAATATATTAACGAAAATAATGTCGATATCGAAGATTTTTCGACACATTAAGCGAATTAAATTAACACTATGATTATCCAATGCCTTTGATGTCAAATTCCGCTTAATACGCGATTCAATTCGAGATATTAATATCGCGCCGAGAATGCGCAGCCCTCTTTTCGATTCTTCCGCTACATCGTCGATGTGCGTGTGGAAAATACGAGAAGACGAGTGCGTGTATAAAACACGGGGCCGCAATAATTCATCGAGAAGCTCTTTCTGCGCATATAGAAGCCGAAGGCCGCGGTTCTGCAGTTGCCACTTCGATATGGTCCACGCGATATGATATCGAGATGGTTAAAGACACCACATACGGTCGGTTGCCTATGTGTTCTATATTTCAATGGCGTACATTTTCCTTAATCATTCGCGCGAATCCTTGATCGTAGCTCAGATTGAGTTGTTTGTTTGACCGAAAGGCTTAATTGATGAGCGATTGAGAAACGATCGATTCATCACCATAAGCTGAGAGTAATGATTCGAGAAATTGAGAAGAAGGGAATACTAGTGATAGAACAAGTGATATTGGAAATAAAGAATAAAAAGTATAGAGTTAATGTATTATAATGTACTGTAATAAAAAATAAAAAGAGTTAAGAGTATAGAGTTAACTATTATAATAGTAGAATAAAAAGCTACATAATTATTTTCTCTAATTGAGAGATAACTGGTATCTGCGTGCGATGTATTACTTTGATAACGTTGCATTGTTGTGTTGGCAATTATATCAAGTATTAAGCGCTCTCTTAACTCTTGTTCGCAATCTTAATCGCCGCTTGATCATAATGAATTTTCCAAGCAGAGCAATTTAATCTCCGCTTTAAAGAGAACCTTGCCTACGCCTCTGAACACTTGCGTCCTTGCGGTTAGAATTACGCACGCGTTCTCCCTACTTCTACAGACAAGTACACGTATAAATATATTTCAATTTTTTCTACCCTTAGGATCTATGATCGTAAAATGTGGTTTTAAAATAACTGCATATTACTACGAAATGTGCTTAATGCCATTTTCAGGTATTTCATGAAAGTCTGTGGTACACAGGATATAATTATAGTATAATCTTTTAATGCGTATGCCGTGACGTTTCACTTATCTATTGTTAATTATAAATTTTTTAGTTGCATGATAATTATCTTGCCATACAATTTAATTATATTAGAAAATAGCCAAGAAATTTATAATCAAAACTGTATTATTTATAGTAAAATAAATATTTTAGTAAATATTAGTATAAACATTTTCTTTACACTCATCGTATGGAATAATGTACATTTAAAATTATTGTACTCATAAGATTAATTTTACAAAAATGTGTCTATTAATATAATCTCCGATTCCTTTGCTTTCAAGTTGCTTTGAAGAAAATCACGCCAATGAACGTTTTATATCTCCTAAATAGATCTAAGAGGACAAACATGCACTTTGCATCGACAACACGTTTTCTTTGGCAATCCGATACAACCATGTCAGTCTCACCTTATTGGATATGCGTGTGACGTCAGGGATGCGTCAGCACGTATAAGTAAACGATTTGAAAAGTTGTCCGTGACATTTTACGCATTTTGTCTAGAATAGAATGAATAATGATGAGAATATAGTAAACTCGATGTAAAAAATAATTATTCTGATAGAAGCGCATCGTTAAATTACATATCAGCAAAAAATTAATTAATAATTTTATATTTTATTCATACATCTACGATCGTGTTCGAATTATCAATCAGTTCTGCAATATTTCTTCTATGAAAGCAAATTAAAATAATTGACATAATTATATATATCAATTCATATACGAATATATACTTATTGCCAATTTTTTCTTTATATTTTCATAATATTTGAAGAATTTTCAATAACACCTTTTTACATGTTCCTCAAATATATCATTAATAAAATTTATTTTTAAGTATTATTTATATAAAACTTTTTATAAAAAAATGTATTTTAAATAAATCCATCATTTAATATTTTTTTTCTCAAAAAATTATATCAACAAAGTTTCATCAATTTTAATTAACTTAAATTATACCTGTAATGCACGCTGATTGCAATATAAATTTATTATAAATAAACAGGACATTAAATTAGTCAATTAATAGTAGCGAAATGGGGGGACTAAATAAACAAATTAGATAAAATATACGCAGTGCATGAAATATTTGAATTGCCGGCCGCGGTGATTTCAATGCGCGGGGAAAAGCATCGCGAGCAAATGGACCAACAATTTAGCATGCAGCGCGAATGCAACACGTGACCTCGTCAAGGACGTCGCCATTTTGGTTGAAAATGTGAAGCGGGCTCGTTCGATCGCACTCGAATCCATTTTAGGACCGTGCGACATTGAAGATCAATCATATACGGGAACGGTACCTTGGCTTTCACGCCAAATATAGTTTGAGCTCTACGCGACAACGATTTTGCCGATCCGTCGATCTTTATCAATGATCCTCATTATTGTTATGATCGAAATTGAACGAATTTATCGAATGAAAACACATCACTTTTAACACACTCGCGCACTGGGAAGATTCTCATCGCTTCTGGCTGCATAGCTCGTTATGTAAGAGTCTGACAATACCACTCGCGTAATATCCTAGGAAAAGCCGTTCGTCGATCCTTTCTCGGAAATGCAAAATGCATGCACGTATCGGCGTAAAAGAAGGATCAGAGCAAAGATAAAACATTGAAATTTAATGGTGGAAAGAAGAGGAGAAAGAGCGCGACGAAGTGTTTATACACTTACCTAGACCCCTCGGTGTGATTCGCACAATCACGCTTATTTTCTTATGGGCGGATTTAAAATTGCCGATCTCAAAGGATCGGCACTACTTTCGCCAAATTTAATCAAAAAAATTAATGTATGGTGAGCGGTTCGAGTCGTTCAATTGAATCTAAATGAAGAAATTACTAGACCTTGCCGCTGGGATAATTTGGCGATGAATGACGAGTGATACGAATGAATTCACGACGCGCGAAACGAAAGTACTCGACGAGACTCGCGCCGCATGCTTTCGCGCCAGCGCTCGCGATACTGTCCGGCGTCGAGTACTTTCTGACGGATCCACCGAGCATCTCAGGATCGAGTCTAGTCAGTGTGGTGCCCCAGAATATATAATCCGTACACCTATCTAAAAGATTCATCTAACACATTTTCGGAATTTTAGGCAACTTCTAAAAAAATAAAGATACCTTACATCGATTGTAAAAGTCTTCTTCATCGAGGTTTCTTAAAAAGAAGTATATGAAGTGACAAACATTAAATGATCACGCAATATTAACTCGATTTATTATGAAATTCTAATATATATTTGAATCTATATATTTGAATCTTTCCATTAATCGTCAGTGTCGAGCAAAATCTTTTGAGAAATCTAGTCATATCAATTAAAAGAACAGATAAGAACATGAGATATTTGTTTCTGTCGTCTAACGAGTCTTATAATAGATTTCGAATAGATCCAGATTTTTAATTATTCGCTTAACTATCGCATCTATACTATTACACACAAAAGAATTTCAATGGTGCGAATTACTAGCATTATCTTTAATTTCGTACTTGAGTAGCTTGAAAGTGCTTCAATAAATACTCTATAGGAAATAACAGATATTTTTAGCGCACACTTTCAACATTTTATAGGTTATTACATGATTAAAATTAAATTGAAAGGAGAGAAATGTCTACACATTAAAATTTTTTTACAGAAAAAATATTTTTGCTCTATCTCATGCCAAGACTGTCGGAGCGGGACATCTCGAACAGTAGGAGGCGAGAAAATTATCAGGGCGAAGCCACTGTAAATAGGCACGTACGCGATACTGAGTACACACCCGAATGGACAAATACTGTGTGTATCTTTAGCACAATGGTATGGTTATCCAATCAGAGACTCACCGTGAGAGACGGAGATTAACGTCCCATTAACCCATTAAAACCCACAATTGCCTTGAGACTTTTTGAGATATAGCTTTATCCTCTCACTCATACATATTTTGATCGATTTTAGAATATTATTGAAATAAAAACGTCATGTATTTTCTTTGAAATTAAAATATAACATGCATTCGTGAAACATCTGATCTAAAACTTTATACGAATAAAATCGAGATCATTTATGGTTATAATTAATCTGAACAGATCAATTTCTGAGTACATCTCGTGAGAGAAATAAATATGTGAGAAACATGTAATGTAAGAAATATCAGATTTTACTAAAATATATTCAACAAAAAAAAATCAATTATATCGTACAGTTTTAAAAAGATGTAGAAACTTGACTGAGAAAAAATAATAAAATTGCATCGTCGAGTAACAATAATAATGTATACCTGATATTTGAAAAAAATGACTTAATTTGCTTGAAAGAAACAAATTAGCAAACGAGTAATCCAAAAAGGTTTTTAAGCATGCGATTTCTTATCTTTATCAAGTCTCTAAATGTACACATTTACTTAGATTTTTAACCATGCGATTTCTTGTTTTTATCAAGTCTCTAAATGTACGCATCTACTTAGCAAGGTGGTTCTCCAAATGGAGCCATCGCGATAAGTAAGTACGTTTCGACTACGCGACTGTTTACCTGCGAATATACATTTTCAGAAGCCCATTCTTAGCGTTCGTTCGAGGCCGTTAATATGCAAATGCGCGCGTTCCAGCCGAATGCCTTATATCGCGCACGGATTTGGCATCGTGTGATTCATCCGCGCTCATAATCAAAATATATCGCCTTCGAGTTCCATTGACGCGTGTCTCTATAATTCTTACTTATGCGCAATATCGTACAAGGCTGACCTAAAAAGACGACGCCCAATTACTATTATGATTAATTAGCGGTGTCAAAAGCAGTAAATGATCTTTTTATCTTCACAAGTTAATCGAGATCTATCCACATGCGATCACATAACAAATCAATAGTAAGCCGATCTGCTCTGTTTCCTTCGACAAATAGAATCGCCTCACAACGAAAATCATCGCTATCATTATGTCTTTGTATGATCACCCTGTTGCTAGATGTTTATTATCCACTTTATTTCTCTTGTCGAAAATCATGTTACACGTATAAGCGATTACTTTTTAATTAGTTGCAGATGTGATTAAATCGATTGCAATTTGCCTTATAAAGCGCTAAAAGAAATGCAAAGAAGGATAAAATTAATTACTGCTTGACGTATAAATTTGATAAAGAATATAATTTTATAAACAAATTTTGAGTAACATTTATACGATATTTATATCAATATAATTTATATTTTATATTATTTATATATACATTTGTCAATGATACAGGGCAGATCGGTATGCTATTGATTCGTTATGTGATTGCGGACAGATCTGGATTGATTTGTGAAAGTAAAAAGATCATTTTATCGATGTTTTTCACGCCGCTAATTAATCATGATAGTGATTGGGTATCGTCTTTATATAGTTGTCGGGCTTTCTGATTTACAATCAACTTCGCAATCTAAATTTTACATTGCACGACTTACATATATATATGTAATTTAATGTGCGAAATGTAAATTGCTATCGTAAATCAGGAATCAGAAAGCTCGACAACTATATGAGAAATATATCTATTACGTGCCGTTCTCTCCATTTACGCTCGTAATTTTCTCGCTTTCCTTGACGGCAATTTGATTCTACGTAGCCGCGGCGAATTGTGTAAGTAGATCGAACTTATGGATACTTTGGAATGTGCACGTTTAATCATCTCGACGCATAACGAGTTTGATATATCGGAAAAACGATGTCAATGTCAATACTAATTGCTGCGAGCGCATTAACGATTGCGTAACAATGATATATCCTTCAATTATGTAGTCTAATTTATATTCGTTTCATGATTACGAATGTCGAATATCGATAGATTGATTTCATTGCGTCAAATATAAATTCCTTCTTAATAAAAGAAAAATCTAAGCTACAGCTTCATTTTGAAATATACTTATTTTAAAATCTACACTGAGAAAAAAAGTTGTTAACTTAACCAAACCATTCGACTAAATTATGATTTTTTAATTGAAATATTTAAATATTTAAGTTAAATAGATATCACGTTAGATTTAATATGTATTATTTAATTTAAATAGTTAAATATTTCAATTAAAAGAATAATAATTTAGTTAAACGGTTTAATCAAGTTAACAACTTTTTTCTCTCAATGTATATTTTTAATTTATTCAAAATTTATTTGCGTATTAAAAAGCATGATTTAATATTTATTAAGATTTTGAAAAGATTATAATCATGCATACAAGATGTTTGAAATTCGCTGAGAGCAACCGATCATTTGCATGCTTTTTCGGACACGATGTACTCCTACTGTAGGTAGACAGGTAGACCGATATAGAAGCCGTCGTGACACAGGTTTATTTATATGAAATATCTGAAAACATACCGTTTTCCAAAACTGGCTGCGCGAAATGGTCGGAGATGCGCTCTCGCAAAAGCGGGCGTAATTGTTGAGGCAAACTGGTCCAAAGGAGACGCGCCTTTCCAGGTGCGGCTTAACCGATGCAGGAAAGAGACGTGGCCAGTCATCGCGTCAGTGACGTCATCGTCAGCTCGATTTGCGCTGTACATCCAATGTGTTCTCCCTCATCATTTTAAGGACAATGACTACGAATCTGTATCCTCGGCACCTAAAGTCATCATAAATTAAATTTGAGTGAAAGCCATGCAATACAGACTAATGTAAACATATGAATGATCTAAATGAGGGTTATACTCATGTCAATAGCAACTCGATACAGATCGATAAAGTGTACGTTCCATCGATAATAAAATATTTTTCTTCTGCAAATCTTTAGTTTTTCTTATCTTTACAAATTTTGCATAATGTCATGTTTATCGTAGATAATCTTCTTTAATTATCTCTTACTTTATTCGCTTGAAAACTTGAATCATAAAGCGCCAAGTGCAGAAACATTTGTCTACCGTAAAAATTCGCGCGTTATGATTCCAATTAACGAAAGCGGGCATGAAAAAGGCGTTAAGCTCACCGAGCATTCGTAGTTAAGCCACGAAGACGTTAACAGTCGTTCGCCCCGCTGGATTCATGATTCGGCGCTCGTTTCCCATTCTCCGCACGATTATACCAAAATTACCGCCATAGAGTGTATCGAAAATCGATACCGGTGGAGAGGAGGAGGAGGGAGAAGGAGCGAAGCGGCGCGGAGTACGTATCGACATCTGGCGGAGCGCGTCGGAAGCAACGCAGAGGGCGCCACACGTCGCAGCATGGTCGACCCGGGGCGCTCTTCTAGGGAGGAAACGAAAAGTACCTAGTCGCGTCCAGTCGAGGAGAAATGACAGAGGAGAGAGGAGGGCTCGTCGAGGTAAAGAGGAGACGCGGCCAGAGAGAGGGAGAGAGAAAACGAGGAGAGCCGAGGCAACGCTCCGAAACGAGAGGCACGACCCCAGAGGCGAGAGAACGCACTACACGTAGCGAACGCGATTCTCCGTTTCTGCATTTCCGCGCGTCCACGTAGAGCCGTATGTGCGGAGGGTGCCCGTATAGGGTAAAAGTACGCCATATTCTCTCGCGGCGGCCGGTGGCGCGACAGAGACGAGACTAGGCGCCGTCAGGCGGAATGACAGGAATGCGTAGCGTCGACGGCGGACGGAATCGGCGGCGAGATCGCGTCGTTCGCGCGTAATTCGGGGCGTGTGCCTTTCGCCGTGGACAGCGGCTTTCTCGCTTCGTCTCTGTCCCGTCCCCTCCCCCCCGCAGTCCTGTCACTCACTCTCTCTCTCTCTCTCTCTCTCTCTCTCTCTCTCTCTCTCTCTCTCTCTCTCTCTCCGTCTCTTTCTAGCTATCCGTCCCTCTCGGATATTAACCCCGGTGTATCAAACGTGTAGTACGTGCCAGGGCGACGTGTAATATGCGTCAGCGACGGCGTACGTCACGCGTCACCGTCCCGTGACATTAGGACGTTGGTCGTCGTGTGTACGCGCGCGCTCTCTCTCTCTCCCTCCCTCTTCCTCTCTCTCTCTTTCTCTCGCGGTACGAGAGAGCCTCGGGACGGAGTACGCAGGAAAGACAAGTGGACAGTCAGTCAGTCAGTCAGTCAGGTAGACCGAGGTAGAGGAGACGGGAGCGGATCCCGCTGGCAGGTCTCTCGGCGCGGCCATTTTTCCACACCGCACGATGCGGCAACCGTGCGTGCCCGTTCGATCCGCCATTCTAAACAATCGGCGCGCTACGTGCACTCGTCGCAGGATGCATCTGACAACGGCAGATCGCGGAGGCACCGCCGTGCCGCGACGACAACGATAAGCGCCGCGCTGCGCCAGCCAACCGACGAGCCAGCCAGCCAGCCAGCCAGCCAGCCGACCAGCCAGCCGACCGACCGACCGACCGACCGACCGACCAGACGGACGGACGGATCAACGCACGCACGCATGTACGCGCAAGACGCGCTGCCCCGCACACGTTAAGGCGGTGCGCTGCCGATTCGAGACGTTGCGAGAGACGACGTGACGTCGCGAGGACGAGACGACGACGGAGCGGCAGTGCTGGAGGTGGTGGACGACGCCAACGTCGTCTCGCCAACGAACGTCGACGGCGACGACAACGGTGGCGAGGAGGAAGAGGAGGAAGCGAGGAGGCGGGGAAGGAGGAGGCGGTGGAGTGGAAGAAGGAGGAAGAGGGACGTGATCGTGACGATAACGCGAGGAGGATGATAACGGTAGCGCGCGCGACCACAATCGCAACGTGGACGACGGCCGCGACGACCAACGGAAGGAAGACGGAACGGGAGACGGAGCGTATGATCAATCACCCCGCCATGCGCCGCGAGCTTCCCGAGCCTCTCGTGCTTCGTGCGTGCCCGTGATTCGCGATTGTGCGAATACAGCGAAGGAGAGGAGAGAGATATAGCGTGCGAAACCGTCGGACGTTAAATAGCGCGTGCGTGCGCGTGTGTGCGTGCGTGCGTGCGTGTGTCAACGGTGGTGCGCGTCCACTACTCCAGCCTTCTTACGTGCACGTTGGTACTCCGAGTGTGTACTCGCCGATCTTGGGCGACCGTCTCGTCCGTAAAGTGCTCCACCTCGGTGTGTGTGTGTATGTGTGTGTGTGTCTCTCTCTTTCTATTCCCCTGTCCATCTGTCTGTGTCTCTCTTTCTCTATCTCTCTCTCTATCTATCTATCTATCTATCTATCTATCTATCTATCTCGTCTCTGCCCTACGTGCGTGTTTCTCGCGTGCTTCCTCGCCACACGCATCCGGGACTCTTCTTCGACCAGCGCGCACGATCGATGTGACATCGCGGCCTCTCTCGTGCTGGCGGTATCGCGGCCACGCATCGCGTCGAGAGGAACTCGTTGGACGGGCGCAGGAAAGGAGTATCGCGGAGGCCAGCGTGTGTACATACGTGCGACAGAGTGCATGCCGACAGTAAGTCGTCTCGCGAGTGCGTATCCCGAGGCAGTGTAGCGCGCGCTCTCTCTCTCTCTCTCCCTCCCTCTTCCTCTGTCTCTTTCTCTCTCGCTCTCTCTGCCCTGTTCATTCCCCTGTTCGTTTCTCTTCCTACCTACTCGCCTTTGCTCGTTTCCTCTAATACTCTGCGTCCCCTCGTCTTCCTTTCTTCCCTCACCCTCCTCTCGTCCTTTCCCCGTCTTCTCTCCCTCTCTCTCTCCCCGTCTCGCTTTTCTTTCTCTCGCTCCCTCTCCGCTCTCTTGCCATCGGTCGAGACGACCATAGAATGCACGACGACAACGCTGCTACGATCATCGTTGCTGTCGTCTGCTCTTGTACTCCCTTTGTCGTCGTCATCGTCCCGTGCGTCACCTTCCTCCGCGTCATCCCACGTCTACGTCTACGTTGACCACGAGGCCGCGCCGCGGGTGATATCGGAGATATCGGCTACGAGATATCGGACGTTTCAGTGAAGTGCCGAGGAGGTGGTCGCGCGAAGATGGAGATCGAGGCGAAGCAGCGTAGCCAGAAGAACCGACGACGGGAGCGGGCGCAGCGCATGCTGGCGCAGAGGGAGAGCCTGGCCACCGCGAAGCAACAGCAACAGCAGCAGCAACAGTCGCAGCAGTCGCGGCAACGGCCGCCGAACGACGAGGAGGACAGCCACAGCGGCGAGGACGAGGACCCCGCCGGCGGCGGCGGCGGCCTCGGTGCCAAGACCGGTCATCCGCGAGACGGACACTCGCGGCCGCCCAGGCCACCGCGACCCCCGAGGCCTCGCAAGAAGTCTTCCCTCGCGGCCGCCAACCAAAAGGAGCCACCCTTCGAGGAGGACATTATCGACGGATTCGCTATCCTCGCTTTCCGCACGTACGAGGATCTCGAGGTGAGAGACCATTTCCGTGTCTTTTCTTTCTTCCTTTTTTTTTTATATTTCTTTTTATCTTATCCGATTATCTTTGTGTACTTTTGATTCCCGCAATGTCGTTCGCTTACCTGACGTCATCTCAAGTGTGTGTACAGACGGTGCTTTTGTTTGCTACGTTTGTTTTGAATCTATTGATATTTTTTCCCCCCCGAGTCGAGACTAGAACAAAGATATCCGGATGCGAAAGAATCGCTTGGTTGAGTACGATTCGAAGCAGAAATGCAAAGACCATTTGTGCAACACTCGAAGGAATATCACTCGATTTATAATGTTGTAAGTTTCAACTGCTTACAAAACGCAGACACAAGGAGGGTTCAAGAAAAGCGTTCAGTTATTTGCGAGTCAATTTTCTTTGGAATTTAAATTATACGGAATATCAACTGTGTAAAGTTCAAATTAAATTTGATCTTTGGATTTCGAGCACTAGACCTACATTCTGAAACATTATTCTTGAATTAACCTGGTTCTGTTCATTAGTCACGCATATCAAGTTAATTACATGTTCATTCTAACATAAAGTAACACGAAAAATACTTTATTAATATCTATACGGAATTACTCTCCGAAATATATTAAATCAAAATTTTCATTTTATAAAGCATTTTACATAATTTTGAGATAAATCTAAAGGGACGAGAGAATTAAAATTCTGAAAATTTCCAATTTTTTGCCGAGGAAAAAATGAAATTATCTTCTTTCACTACCCTTCGCAGCATGGTGTCAGTTAATGGTTGAAAGAAAACAGACCCATTGTCCCATACTCCATGTGTTAAAAGTTTGTCGCCCTGTTTAGTTAATATACTTGTCGATTGATAAAAAGCGAAATTTTTGTTGTTGAATAGATCATTACGTTATTTTATTTTAATGTTTGACTATATTATTACTTACGGTTATGTACTTATGGTTATTTGTGATTATTTAGGATTAGTTGTTGAGTCATTTTCGACAAATCATGTTTACTATTAATTATGGGACATTGAAAAGATATGATGATACACTCGATAATGGATTATCATTCTGCTAATGGCTTCCTAATGATTTCCTGCATTTTTACGTTTCGATTGTAAAGAGAGAATAATTTGATTAATATGTACGATAAGAAAGGGTTTATTTATTTTATGATTTTTAAACGTCGAAAAATTCTGTTAAAGAAAATGCAGTACTTTCTCGATAAATTTTATCAAATTTATTCGAATAGATAGGTTCATATGAAGTAATATGAAGTTGATTGGAAAATAATGATCAATCGTTATTTTTAGTGAATTGAGATAACATAAATTAAGTTCTTGCAAAATATTGACAGAACAGATCAGTGGTTCTCAAACCGAGTTCCGCAAATTCCAAAAATACGAAATACAAACGCAACAATTATAGCATCGTTATCTGAAACAAATAAAAACAACGCTTTCAATCGCATAAAATTTAATATCGATTAATCGTGAAAAATGTACGTTAAAAAAAATGATTCGTCGCCGCAAAATGCATACATACGCATCGTATATTAAAACCGGAGAAAGTTTGAGAAGCTTTGGCCCGAAAACAAACAGGAAAGAATATAAATTCACAAACCATGCGTGCTGAACGGAGAAGAAAGAAAAAAATAGAGAGAAAGAGAGAGAGAGGATGCTTTTATATTGCGATAAGCGGTTTATATCAGATTAATATCACAGCCATTTTATTTTCCGAACACAGCCCGAGATACTCCTCCCTCCAATCAGCGAATTACGAAAATACGCCGCTGGCTCTGATAAACCTCGGTCATTCGCGCGGTTCCGATCGTGGTTGGAGTGAAACCGAATCGAATGGTTAGGTGCAACCGGCCTTTGGAACGCGCGATATCGGCAGCTGACAGCGGCTGATCGTCATCTCCTCTCGCGGCCTCTCTCCTTCGTCGCGGATCGCACATCGCCGTAATGCACGTACTGACCATTTCTTTGCGGCGTGTAACGGTATTCGCGACGCAGACTCGCGGGGATCTCGCGCGAACGAACAGCGAGATGAAAATTTGTTTGCCGTGAGAGAACGCGTGAGAGAAATCCGAATTTTACCCGCGCTTTAACTCCGCATAATATGTACCGAGCACACATTTTTTTTCTCCATCACGCACTTTTCTCCGTTTAAACATTCCTGGAAAATTTCCCTCTTTATATAAACCTACATACAAGTGTTGAAAGGTAAACGGGACTCGAAAGTCAAAATTCGTGGGAGCTGCCTTTTTAAATACGAGAGCATATTATCTCTAAAATCCTACTGTTAATCTAGTCCGTGTATACAAATTATTTTATGCTACATTAAAATAATATAATATGAGGATTAATCTGTATTCATTAGAATGCATACAATAACGATATCTTCTAATATGAAAAGTTTAACAAACGAAAATTTTATAAGAGAATTAATATAATCGAAAATTCGATTAGGAATCTAACAAGTGTTACTTGGTCATAACAAAGATACAACTGATTTAAGACGGAAATTACTCGAATATACTTTAGATATGTTTCGAGGACAGATAAGTAAACTCGCAAGAGCTCGTCGATAAGAAATATCGTAAATTGTTCACGATACTTATTTTTTCACTTATTGACATAAATTTGCATCATAACGAATTGCGACCTTGTTAATATCGCGACACGTGTGCATATTATTAATATTCCTTCATACACGCACATATATATGTATATATATATATATATATATATATATATATATATTCCTTTCTATTTTATTATTTATAAGATATATATATTTTTTTACAAAACAATTTTTCACAATCTTAGAATGCAATCTTATTAATAGTCAGACAGAATCAATTTTTCATAAATGTTTAAAAAATTTTGTAGATAATAAAAATAAATCTCGTAAAATTATTTGGCGTAGAAATAAAACTAGGCTTTGTTCTTTCTTGCTGCTTGCTTAAAAATTAATTAGAGTATTGCGACAAATACGATTCATCGCGATAATAAAACTCATCGGTGTACACGTCATCCGGAGTAGCTCTTGACAATTTTATTCTCTGCAAGCAATCCTCGACAGTAAAATTTCCATCGTACATTGAGAGCGACACTTAATGAGTGTCTAATTGAGAGTTTTCTCCGAGAGCGATCCTCGATAATAAAACTCTCGAGTGTGCACTTTGCCTAACCTTTGATATATCGCGAGATATTTGATTCTCTCCTCTTGTTCTAAATTCGCTGGCATTGAGCCGCATCGTTCTGCATCCACTGTTTCGATCATCTAATTCTAATTAGCGATTCACTTTTTTACATCGCATCGATAATGGCACTACGGATTTAATCTCTTAGTGTCATTAATATTAATTTATGAAAAGAATAATTATTTTAACAAAAAAACTTGTCTTTATATATAATTAAAAGGGGAGCAGTAATGAATTAATGAGTTAATAAAAAGTTTGTTTTTTCCATTACAAGTGAACATAATTGATCTTGCATTCATCGCATATGAATTCTCGCACGTTAGCCCTACATTAAGGTCATCTCGTTATTGGTATGCTTTTTATTTGCGAATTGATCATAAAGAGCGGCGAAAAGAAAATGAATTAACGCCTCGCTCATAATTTTCTATTTTTGCGGTTTTACGACGCGTTGCATGACAGTTGATTCCAAGTCATGTTGTTAATTGCACATTGCATTTTTGTGTTTTATCGATATGTACGCGTGCTCGAAATTATTATTTCTCGCTATAAAAACTTGATACAACGCGACGCATCGCGTTTTAAATCCGCAAATTAACTCCAAGACACGCCGCACAATTACACGCTTTTATCGTGATTTAACGCGGCCAGAAAATTAATCCTTACTTTTTATTGTCTGTCGGGTGTGTCTCCTCCGATTATCGCCCTTTTATTAAAGAGATTGACACAATACAAAATTCGTAAAAATTTAAATAAATTTAATCTTCGCGATGCAAAATTACATTCAAGATAATCACTTGCGATATTATTTCGAATAAATATCTTTGTTGATTTCTATCTGTATAAATCCGCATTATCAAAGAGAGATTTAATATTTACTTGTATGAAATCTATTTTCTTTATGTAAGATTTCATATATTTTGCTTGATAAAATTCAAACATTTTAAAATTAAGTAATTACACAATATTAATCATTCTATTTCAAAGTATTTCCTTGAAATGATTACATTACAAATCAAATATAATTAAGCTTCCATATAGTCCTCAATTATTCTAATTTTCTATCATTTGCTGGAATAAAAAATAAAACTTTGCATGTTTTTTTTTTATCGATCTATAAACGACGATTTGCTTTGCATATTAATAATTATGTAATTATCGTTGCAAAGATTACGGATGCTTATTTCTCGACTTAGTAAACACACACACACACATATTTCTAAAGTAAACCATGTTCAAAGCCTGATGCGATTTTAGTGTGATATGCGGCACGATGTGGACTTTCGATCGATTTTGTCTTGTCTTTTTTACTTAATAAAACGAAAGGATATAAGGATCTTTATGCGTATCGATGTAACATCATAGTTTATTTATCAAGGTTACCCCGTATTTACGACGACAATATCCGTGCAGCCGGCTTGAATCTGCAGGTGGCTCGCCTGTTGCAACCCTTCAGTCTCTCGATTCCAGCGATTTACGCATCTATGCTGTTTTCATGTGTGTGTCACTATAGCAATAAAAGTATAATCCGCATTTATAGCATATATTGTGCTCTCTAAATAACGCATAGTCGATATGTCATTTTCCAAATAACACGGGATCGCGAAATCCATGAAACGAAACTCCATTTGAATAACGCAATAACGCAAAAATTTCTCTCCCACGGAAAGATTTTATATACCCGAAATATTCAGAGATAAAGTTAGCTCCACTGACTTCATCGTTAATTGAATTTCAAATATTAAGTAAGTGCGAAATATATTCTCAATAGAAGTTGTTACATCTTCGTTACATGAAATTATTC